CATTTATATATACCGGCCACGGAGTTCTGGATCGTCCAGCTGTTCCGGTGAGTTGCTATCAATAAAAGGGGGAGATCTGTACGTGTTCTTATGTACAGGGTGTCACAAAAGAAAATTTGCACGGTATTTTTTACCGCAAAAATAAACTAGGCGTCGCCGAATGCTCATTCTTCGCCCAAAGGTAAAGCTAGAGGTCACAACCAGATGCGAAAGTTTCAGCCCGATCCGATAACTTAATCAAAAGTTAGAAGTGATTTTCTGAAAATTTCAATGGGAAAATGGAGCCCATTTTTGCCTGTTTTCGGTTTCTGGCGCCATAGAGCCCCATGTGTTCGAAAACTCCGTCGGCCGCCATTTTCCCATTGAAATTTTCAGAAAATCACTTATAACTTTTGATTAAGTTATCGGATCGGGCTGAAACTTTGGCATTTGGTTGTGACCTCTAGCTCTACTTTTGGGCGGAGAATGAGCGTTTGGCGATGCCTAGTTTATTTTTGCGGTAAAAAAGACCATGTAAATTTTCTTTTGTGACACCCTGTACTATATTAACCATGGCTATGTCCCAAATCTACTCTAATAGATTCCGTCAACGTTGTGGAGCCAGGGGGGTTTTCGAAAGCAAAAGTACAAGACGGCGAGAATGAAAATCTTTGAAGCGCGGCCGATATGGTCGTGTGCAATCTGTTGACCAATTACAATTAGGCGAGCCGCGCTCAAACGTCAAGTGCAATTAAGTAGGTTGATAATAAGCTAGCACTGATCAGTGATGAAAAGCTGTTGTGCACGGTATTGTGTAAATCGTCTAAGGACGAAAAAAAGACGTACGTTCCCCCCATCTTCCGTCGCTAGTGGACGCTGGATTAAGCTCGTTCCTAAACCGCGAGGGGAAAAGACGCTGATCCAGAGGCACGAACAGCTTCACGCACATTGCACTCGCTAAACACATACACACGGCGTCGGTTCTTGGTGGGTATCCAAGCGTGCGAAGGCACGGAGACATGGCACTTCGGCGTGCCAAGGAAGCTTTGAACACGCCGCCAGCCCTTCCTTTCGACGCGTTGTGCCTTTTTCCTGCGACACTGCACTTTCGCAAAATTTTCCACGTGTTCACAACGGCAAGTCTCAACAATACACAGAGTCTTCAAAAAACTTCTTCGGCGAATGACGACGAACGAGTAGAAAAGCGTGTCTACAGCACGCTGGAAAACCGCAGCAAAGGCTAGCAAAAACGGCAAATCGTATCCCAAGCGAGTGAAGTCCGGTGGCTTCACTTGCGCTGCAGCGAACAAGCGGGGAAGCGCGATCCAGCAAATGTCATAGAGATCAGTGGTCCAGTCGCAGCCAAAACTACAAGCGCGAGCTCCGGGCTTTCAGCATCCCTGCCAAGCACGCGCGCTCGTGCAGTGCAAGCACTGTTCTGGGCCACATGCTCGCGCTTGAAGCATCGGCTGCGTCTGGACCGAAGCTGAAACGAAGTATAGCACTACCTTTGGGCGGAGAATGAGCGTTCGGCGATGCCTAGCTTATTTTTGCGATAAAAAAAAGCCTGTATTTTTTTTTTTGTGAGGCCTTATACTTTGGAATTCTCTCGACTTCTAGCGACCGGTTACATTGTAATCAGTTGATAATGGTAATGTTGGATGAGGGCTACAATGAGCGGTGATATGGTACGTATGATATTGTATGATTAGAGCGCACTCAAAATAGTAGATTCCAAGAGTCGGTGGAATCAGCACAGTCGCTGATTCTGATTTCGTGCGTCTCCACAGCTGTGTGTGTAAACAAATCTAATTCTCGCATATATTTATTTGAAATGATAGAATTTAACTGCGCTTTAAGCAAAGAGCCAACTGCTGCAGCTTTAAAAAAGATTGTAGCAAATAACGGGGTCCCAGAAGAAATTTCGATGCAATTAGATAATGGACCTTTTCCGAGAAGCGTTCTGCGCACGCGCGAGCGCCCGATGCCAAGCGGTGGAAGTCGGCACGAAAAAATCGAGGAAATTCGTAATGAGGCTGTAAATCGACGAGTAGAACACGTAATTGCAGCATATATATAATTGTGTTACACAAAAAAAGAAAGTGGACAGAAAGAAAAACACGACGTTTGGGTGGACGCTACGGATTTCCTTCTTTAAAGTCGCGCTAGGCCTACCTCGTGGCATTGGGCACGCGACGCTGCTCAGAGAGCGAAGCAACTGGTAACGTAGCTCCCATTATTGATTGGTAGCGCAGGTCACTTCCTCGATTTTTTAGTTCGCGCAGCCACCGCCTGGTGCCGTCGGTATATGGAAAAGGTCCATTTGCGGCAGCAGTTGTGTCCCCAGCTCGATGCAAATCTCACAGTGGGAGCATGCCATTGTTTTGTTTCCAATCCATTGCCGATTACATCTCCAGTCGGCCACGGTAGACTCGATTCATTCTAACAAGAACTCGAAGAAAGATTGGGGAGCAATGCAGCTCGACAGATATTGGCATGTGCCTGGCCCAGTTGATCTTTCCTCAGGCCCTTTCACACAGCAGTGTTTGCTTACATTACGTTAGGAGTCACCAGTACATCCATGCTTCAATGTTGCCATGCTTAAGCATGGCAACATGCTTAAGCATGTTGAGAAGTGCCAGGACATCCATGCTTCGTACAAATTAATTTGTACGAAGCATGGATGTCCTGGCACTTCTCTACATAAGGAGACATAAGCTTCCATAACAGAATGTGGAAACAGGGCGGACTGCCCTTTCCACGCTGAGGCATGGTTGAATCCTTGCTGTGGCCTTCCTTTTTCTACATTGAAAGCAATACTGGAGTTCTACGGCGCAGTCTAGAAACTTACGTGTTCCAGTACCGAATCCCTTCCACCTTAGAGCCTGTACAGAAAAACCTGTAGTGCTGCGTCGGACGAGTCTTTGGTGGGCGAGTGATCCTGCCTGCCTTGATCGATGCATAGTTTCGCAAGTTCTTCTGTGCCTTGCCATCCCTTGTTCGCAACAATATAATGTTCCCGTACAAAGGACGTACATAGATGGTGCCGTCAGGTCCTTTGAATGAAGCAGTCTGCTGTGTCTGTAATGTAGCCACGACCACTTGCAGAACTTTATTCAGGGGAGCAACCCCTTTTTTTTCCATAGTGGCCTTACCCTGGAACTGCGGGGCACAGGGCTGAGTCCTAACTCACAGAAACCCAATCCCAAAGGAAGGTGGCTGTACTCCCCTCTGGACATCCGTGAATGTAGTTACACTGAGCAGAAAGAAGGCACCCCACAACCTAGACCAGGAGTGGCCAGAGTGACATGGGGTTAGAGCCGCAGACAAAACGCAAAAAGTTCAGAAAGCCACAGGAAAGAAAAAAAAAAGAGAAGGGGTGTAGGGCTACTTTTAACAAGGAGCGACATAGAGGGAACAGTCATTTCCAAAGGGGACAAGTACAATAGTCAACTACAACAAATAACACCAAGTAACAGAATGTTCCTTCAAAAGCAGAAATTAATGCATGGTTTGCTCGCTAGCCATCCACTGTCCCCACTCCCCAATGCCCGTTATGCTTATTCGGTTCAATATTATTTCTAGAACAACAAAGGAAACAGGGTCGATGAACACATCTATGTGAGATAAAGCAGTCCAGCTGTATGTACAAGACTGCTAAAACTGTGAGCATTTTTTTTTAAATTCTAGAACTATTTTTATTTTCATCTTGGGGACACGGGACGGGAAGGGAGCACGTTTACCAGGGAGCCACTAGCCGCACTTGGACGTGTGAAGAGCCGCATGCGGCTGGCAATCAGCAGTTTGGCCACCCCTGAACTAGACCATTCAAGGCTGCAGAGGAGGAGTCATGTCACCGGCGTCCTATGGAAAGTTTGGCCAGTCAGCTGCCTTTCTGGAAGGGAATAGCAATGCAAATCTATGTCCCCATGGCTACTTCATCGGGGGATCCTGAAAATGTTGGCAATGGACAGAGTGATTCATACCCAGCTGGCAACTATATCCTTGTGCTACCAGGAAGCCGACCACAAATGCCTCTTTATCGGCATTGAGATAGCCCCACACATTTTTGTTTATTCAGGGTCCCATGGAAAGTCTGCTTTGCCATACCGAGTCGCGCGGTTTGTGAACCACGGCTTGGGTACCCTCGACGTGACACCAACACGGGCCTGTACATGGCTTTCATGTGATATCACTATGCTGGTGGTCATTTCTACTTGTCCTTGCTGAGAAAATCAAATTTGGCAATGTGAAATGTCTGTCGCAGAAGGTATGTGCTAGTGCCACTAAATAAGCTACGCTTCAGAGTTACAGCAATGACCCATCTTGTGGCTTAAAATCAGTTTCCAGTTATCTAAAGCTTTATCTGAAATCACAGGAAACGCTTTTCCGTCCTTCAGAAATGTTTAAACAGTTCGTGACAGAGCAAAGCAATATTACACGAGCTTCCTAACACTGAATCTAATGCTGAGGAAGTCATACTTTTGAATCATGACGATCGGCAGTTGCGTCTGCTCTGCACAAGCATCAAAATGGCGGCGTCCCCAACAATGTCTGGGAACAAAGTGCCGATACTCTAAACACAGCTCATTTAGTGGTTCTAGTGCATGCTAATCAGCAAGACTACTAGAATAACTGCTGATGTAACGTCAGTGCAAACCATGTATTTGGTTGGAAGACCTCACTCTTAAGCATGGGAGCTGGCTTCTAGCCGACGGGCCCCCAGAACCGCACACCACATTCAAGGGCTCTTCGTCGAGAAACTTTTGAGCCCAATGTGGATTATTTTTGTCGCCTATGCTCATAGGAAGGAGGCTTCTTACCACTGAGAAATGCAGAGGCGAAGGGAAAGGATGTCAGCTCTGCCAAATAACAATTTGCGTGTCGGCTGCCCAACAAAAGTTTCCTCAGCAGGCAAGCATTTCAAGGTTGGGCATGTTCATGTAACAAAGCATTATAGAAAAGTACAAGGTCATACTTGCTGCATTAGCATGCGCAGAGTCAGTGAATCAACTACAAGGTTTGTTTGTGGCACTAAGAGATAAACTGATCAGCTGCTTTTAATGCAAAACACATGAAGAGGCACAGACAGAATCAACAATGGGGACATGCTGCCCATAATGCCCGTAATATTTTGGGTGGTTCTTCGTCAATACATACTCAACATACATCCGTACGCATATTGTGTCAAGTCTCTTACACACAGTGTTCAGTGAGGCCACAGGAGTGCACGGCTTCAGACACTTTCAGATTGTACGCCAAGAATCGGGAAAAGTGCTCAAGTTTGGCAGATGATGCCGTTATACCAGTCGCTGTTACAATGAATGGAACCATATACAAAGCAACATCACTGTTTTCACATCATGTTTCTTTTACTTCATACCTTGGTTGCTCTGAAACCTGCTCAAAGCATCCAGAATAAATTCTCACTTAAGTCACAGAAGCTATTGGAACTTGCAAAACATGCTCCTAGTGAGGAATCTTCCGGCTATGATAATAACAAGACCCGATGTTGGTGGCAACCATTCTTAGAACCAGTTGATAATGTGCACTTTGCTGGCCCCTCGTGAGGAGTTCAAAGGTTGTGCGGCCTCATCGAGCGCTGCGTCATACATGTTCAAACAAAATAAGCTCCTTTCTCGAAAGAGTGCGTCAAGCATCTGCATGCTACACAAATGAACACGGTGGTGCCTGGTTTACAAGGTATGACAGAAAGGTGAATGGACGACACAGACAACAGACCTACAACAGAAATCAATGTGCACATCACAATGGAAGATAAAATTCCGAAAAGAAAAAAATTAACAAATGGAATGTGAAACTTTCTCGGAGAAACTGAACTTCACGCCGAGGAAGCACACGGTAAGGTGCAGAACACCAGCTCACAAACACAACAGTGTCAACATTACAAGCCTCTGAATACTCATCTATCAGTTCTCTTAACAGTTTTGTGGTAGGGGTTACCCCGAAACTGTCAATGACGCATCTTTCTAGACAGCTATGTCCCTATAAAGGTGCAATAGCGGAATCGTTGGAATATTACAGATCATTAAACTGTCGCTACAACATACGAAACAGCACACTACTTTCTAACAGAAATGGAACATTGGCGACACAGCACGACACTCCGGCCAACCCGAAGGTGTTGTGTCTTCGCGTTGGCCGTATTGTGCCACACGAGAAGTGAGATGGCAACAGTCAAGTGCTAAGCTTTCTCAGCGGCGTGTACTTCATCCGCGCTTTCTTGACCGGCGGTTTGGGGTCCGCGGCCGGCGACGCCGAGTCCTCCTTCGCGTCTTCCTTGCCGCAGGTCGCGGGCGCTTCGTCCGACTTGGACTCGGTCCCGTCCTGCCTCTTGTTCTGCTTGTCCATCAGCGACGAGATTACCTCCAACTCCGACAAGGTGCGGTCCAGGAGGCCGCAGAAAGTGCTCACGAATTGCGGCGAGTGGTTTTCGTTGCGGAGGCTTTCGATCGCGCTGGGCCACTGCTCGAGCGCGTACAGGGTCTTCCGGAACGAGCTGTCAGTCAACTTGGTCGCCGAGGCTTCGCCTTCGGCCATTACCATCGTGCGGGTCTTCAGAAAAGTGATGTCGTGCCCACAGCCGAGCGCGTTGACTCACCACTCGATGGATCACAGCTGTGGACTGCACGACGAACAAGCACGACGCCACTTTGGGGCCAACACCACCTTCGAGACCGCTGTGTCGAAGACAATCACATCGTTTCGCTGGCCGAGTGGAACGTCTGGACTCCTGAAAACCCCCACGGACACGCGAAAACACAGACTGCGAACCAAACAAACAGCACCCAAAGCTTTCCTCCCTGTCCTCCTGTCCTCCGCCTCAACGGCCTGAACGTGATTTTAGTGGATGGACGTATACAACTTGATACAACTAAACAACTCAATCTCTTCATTAGGGCGGTGGAGCGCGCCGCCTATTACTTTGAGCGCTACTGGCGCTACTACCTGCTGAAAAGCCTAGATTGTAGAGAGGGTCCATCTCAAACCAAGTGGTGGGTTTGCAACTTAATGGCGGACGCCTCCTGCAGAGATTCATCGCAAGTGCGCATACGCTGAATTTTTTCGTAGCGATGAGGGAAGCAGGCGGAAAAGCGAAGACGTTTGCAGACGATCAACGTGTTCGGCACGTCATCGCAACTCGTATTGCAAATGCGGCCCATAAACCACGTGATCGCGATCGAGCAGTTTGACACTCTCTGTTATACAGGCTCTCTACTACCTGCTAGAGATTGTCACCATCCTGGTGGTGGTACATGGTAACCAGTTGACTGAGGGATTGAGGGTACGTTGGATTATGGCTTCAAAGAACAGTTATATGGTATGTATGATATTTTATGATTAGAGCGCAGTCAAAATAGTAGATTCAAAGAATCGGTGGAATGAGCACGGTCACTGTACTACCGATGATTGTTGGTGACTGGTTTTGTACGTCTCCAGAGCTTTCTGCATTAAAAAATTTATTTTCTCGCGTATATTAACTTGAATGAATTGAAATTAACTGTGTCAGATCAGTTAACATAACCATTGTCGTACTGGATACGCAAAACGTAGCCCGTAAGCTGATTGAGTGAAGTCCACCAGAGGGCTTCTCATTGGCCTTGTGGTAGAAAGCCTAGATTTAAGAGGGGGCGCAGCTGAAACGATTAAGAGTATTTTTCGTTTCATATTGAATAGGCAGACTGATCGGAAGTGCGTATGCTTGTGTTATCCTGTGGCAAGAAAAGGAATAAAAAGAGACGCTGGTAGAACGATCACCGTTTTGTCACCTCCTCGCATCCTCGCAGCTCTTACAACAATAGCGATTCATTAACCACGTGACGCCATCGAGCAGTTGAAGACACTCTAAAATCTAGGCACACTAATCTGTGCAGGCAGCCTTCTGCACTATCCTTCCGTGCCTTCTGCATTAGTTCTGCGAATGTTTATCGCGTCATCTACGTCTCGCATATGCCCCGCTTGTCCCTACGGTTGATAGGGCGTTGCGATCCCACTCGCCGAACTCGTAGGTAGTATCCGATTTTGCGATGTCCTGCACGATTCGAGTCTCGTTTAGGTAGCAGTTTCATGACCCGAAAACTTCGGTGGGAAGCGAGCGGCCATCTTTAGCAGCGGGTTGTTTTCCTTCCTCGAAGAAGTGGTCTGTCGCCGGGGTCCCCGTCAGCATGGAATAACGCCGAGGTGAGTCGACAACTGACTTTGCAATCTGTGCCGAACCGTACCCGCTGACGTCACTTGCGTTCCAAGGGCGCAACGATCTAAACTAGTGAGGAGTAAACATTTCGCCAACTGTTTTTGTTTCTTTCTTTTTTCTTCCCCCGGTGTTGGGATGTTAAAACTGCGACGTCGGAAGCATTCACGTCGCTCGAGATCGGTAACCATCGGTGTCCCAAGCGTCGACGGGGCTACGGCACATTCATTGGCGTTCCTTGCGGGATGTAAACGCGCACGACTGCTGCTTGAACGCAGAGGCTCACTGTACGGCGGAAACGGGCGAAGCTTGATATGTGAGCACTTCCGAATAGGTGCCGCGGAGAAAAGTCGCCCAACAACCAACCGCTGAGTCATAATAAGCCAAGCCCACTCAAAAGCAGTTCTAAGCGACGACCACTGACGAACGCTACGAACCGATGATTCACCAGAGCGATCTACGCCCGGCTCGCTTGATCCGTGTCAATGCGATAAGTGATGCGAGATAAGAATCGCCGACCGTGGCAACAATCTGCACTACCCTCGATATGTCCCAGTGATCTGTCTCCCGCGAGGGACACTTCGCGTCTGATTGGCACTGCTCGGGACCAGAACTTTCTCGCGTGTTCACTGAGAAGGTGAGGACGGCAGGGGGGCGCATCATGACATACACACCACCGCTGACCACCGAGCTAGGTCAGAGCCGTATATGTAGAGAGTTTGGCCATTCGTTGGGAAGTATAGGAGACAAATAAGGAGGCGCCATTGGCCGAAAACGGGCTGGGCGTGTTCCAGGGCGTCTTCAGCAATTTGATTGTGACCAACCAGAAGCCGGAAATAATACCCTGGCGGTGGTCGCTAGAAAAAAACCTGATAACTGCATCGGAGTGACTCTCGGTGACTGAAAATATGGAACACTTGATGTTTCAATCACGCTCATCCAAAATGATGGTGGAAGAGTGCAACTAGCGGAACGATCGACATAATCCTAGCGCCGAGGGCTGGGAATCTGCCGTCCGAGCGGTCAAACTCTGTCCAAGCAAAACAGAGTTAAGCAGCGCATTCGTTTTTTACATCTTTCTGCATGATCATGATTAAAACAACACATGCACCCTATTTTCAACCACAAAGAGTTACTACACTTCACTGTTATGCGCTTATTAGAACTATATACGAACATATACCTTTGATCAGAACTGTTCCTCGCTACCACCGCTAGGGGATTAATTTCGGTTTCTGGTTGGTTAAGAGAGCATGCCAAGCCCTCTTTCAGAGTCTGGCGCACGCCCTGGCTCTGCCTGCACCTCCATTGACCAAACTCTCTCTATACACGGCTCTGAGCTAGGTGGTCTCACTCTGCAACCAATAGAAGGGAGTGAGATCAAAACTGGATGCTCCACCCTATGTGCTCGGCCGCACCTAAGCCCTCTGCCGGTAGAATTGACCGACATATTATTGCTTGAAGTTTTATACTGTGTAGTCGGGCGATCATAACTGAGTTATAATAATTGAGGTACCCCCAGTCGGGGACATAGAAATACAAACAACGTAGCGGCGACTGAGTAAGACCTAGGGTACCACATAGCGGCAGATGTGGGCAGCGTTTAAAGAAAAGGCCTGCTGATATTTTTTTTTATTAATCGCGAGAAATTCTCATTTTGGTTCACCCTTTATGTCCTGCTCTTGAATGATTGGTTTTGAGAATGATGTCATTCCTTCATAAGCGTTTGTGACATAGCGTTGCGGCGACTTGTCGTGCAGCCGCAGGAGCTGCGTATTTTATTGACAGATTTTTCTAGTGATATGATTGAAGCCGTTCCAATTTTATTTAGAAGTGGCGTTGTTCCCCAATATTCCACTAGCACTGTGGCTTGTGGGCTGTCAATGCACTCATTAGGTTGCAATAAAAGGCAACCTTCGTTGACTGAAACAGAAAACACCCAGTGAGATTACTTTGCACTGCAGATGACGGTGCTAAATATTGCATGCTCCCATTTCCACCCGACCACTGACACTCTTTTGATTATAAAGAGCACCACCCAAGTGGCAAATGCCGCGCCATGTGTAGCCAAGAGTTAAGATAATACTACGGCGGGAAACACTGATTATAATCTCGTCGGAGAAGTGACTATCATCGCCTGAGGAAAAGAAAACGATTGCTGTTTCACAGGTCATAAATGTCAGGGATTCATTCTAAGTGAGTGGTATTTGCACAAAGTACAAAAATTGTTGCTCTGCCCTTTAAAGCTACTTCACATGTTTCTGTTTGAGCGTTCTTGAGTGTGCTGCGTTTCCTTGTAACTGCCTACGACGAGGGATCAAACTGGCGCCATCCACCTTGTAGCACTTCCAACCCGCACATGACTAAACTAAAGGTATTCTGGTATTTGCGAGCTCAAATCTGTGTACTGTCTATGAGAAGTAGTCTCTTGTAACACTGTAAGAATTACCTTGAGCCCGCAGTGAAGGAATGTTGTGCAAAAAATGATGGCATTTACAAGCAGGTTTGACGTGTTCCAGGGCTAGGTGATAGACGGCGACAGCGTGTTCAATCATCGTAAGCGATTACGAGGAAACGCAAATGGGTGAACTATCCTCTAGAGTGTTAAGGGACCGTACGCACTCGCCCCCACCACCACCATTAGTGAACATTGCACCCACATGCCCCACAGGTTGGCGCAGCCGGAGGCCAGGCCATGGCCCCTCCACCGCCGCCACCCCCCATGGGGGCCCTGGGGCCCCCTAAGACTGCCGCAGTGCCGGACCGGTCCGTGCTCCTCTCCCAGATCCGGGGTGGTGCCACACTCAGGAAGGCGGTCACCAACGACCGGAGTGCGCCCATCATCGACGGTGGGTTGGCCACAAGTCTGGCTACCGGGTGGCGCAAACCGCGGCCCAATTGACCCTTTTCTAAAAGTCCGTCGAGCAACATTGGCGGTCGCTATTTCTGGGGCACGAAGCGTGCAATTCGATCCTCGTCTTCGCCGAACTCCGGCGCAGCATCCGTCTTCGACACGAGCTAAGCAGAGTTTGCGGGTCCAATTCATGCTCGGGAGTATGTGCCCAAACAAAGGCAGGGTTGGATAATTGGTGCAACAAAATGGCGTACTCTTTTGAAAAGGGTCTATTTAGAAGGTTGGGCGGGACGCATTAGTTGGGGTGTCGGCCCACCCTGGAAAACCTGGAAAGTTTAGAATTGTCAGGGAATTTCAAAGCATCTAGGAAAAGTCGAGGAAATTCTTGAAACGTTGGCTAAGTGGAGAAAACAACCGATGAAAGCGGGACGGGGTGCCGGGGATGGCGCGAGTAAGTAAAAATATGTTTGTTGGTAAAAGGGGGAAAAAAATATCTCGTTTGCATTATAGCGAGGATATCCTTTGCGCTAAGTAAGAGTAGCCTGAGGCATCACTAGGTAGTGTACGCCATTGTCCAATTCACCAGTCAAAGAGCCGCCATTACCCCATCCTCCGCATTTTCTTCTTTTTCTTAATGGTCGGGGAATTTTAATTGAGCACTTTGGTAGGCACCCTTATTCATACATTCAATCATGTGCGGTTCTGGATCTGGATCTAGCGCAGACTGATGGTGCCTCGCAAGTTGACAAATTCGTCGTGCTGGCGGCACCGCACGCTTGGCTGGGCAAGCCGTGCGAGGTCTGGGGGCTGAGGTGTCCTTTCTATTTAAGGTTCCCGGCATGTGTTCTGATTTTGGTGGAAACCCCTTGTTTCTGTATCGCTAGTTCCTGCAACCGATCTCCACCAGACAGTCTGGAGAAGTTTGCCGAAGTCTAAAAAAAAGTTTGGGAATTCTAAAAAAAAGAAAGGCCATTTTGCTAGACTAGAGCTGAGACGTGACTACTCGTTTTCATTTGCTTCTAGCTTTCAATGCGACATTCTAGGGGCTCAAACCACCTTCACCTCGTCCAGTTTTTGATAGATGCTACCTTGTTTTCTTTTATTTCTCACACGCTCCCTCAAGACATGATTTGTCGCGGTCCTCGATGCCTTTCTCGCACACTAAGCTACATAGTTGCGTGTCGAAGCCTAGACTTCAGTTAGCCAGAAGCACGTCCTTAGATAACCTGGTCTCGAATCTTTCTGTGTACGGGAAAGCCTTTCTCAAGGACAAGTTGAAGCACCGGAGGCAAGCTGCCGACTTTAGGAGCCGGCCATTCGGATCGCTCCCAGGTGCTAACGGGTGGATGTGGGTTCGGAGGAGCCACCTTAGAGAAAGTCGCTGGGTGCGTCTACCTCGTGGAAAGGGGTCATATTTTTTCGAAATGATCGAAATATCACATAAAAGACACTACATCTCCTTAAAGGATCCGGGAAATGATTTTTCAAATTCTTCCTCCTCAGCTCCTCAACTCAAAAGCGAAATGAGGAATCACGTGGTCGCGACATGCTTCGGCACCAAGGGCTACCTATGACTCCTAGCTTCCACCGTGCTTTTTAAACACATCATGGAACTTGTCATTCGCAAATGATGAAAAGTGCCGTCACAGCAATCATTGGCCACAAACGCAAATCCCAATATTCGTCGACGTATTGGTTGTTGACGAGCACGTACGTTGTTGACGAGCACGTACGTGCGAGTTACGCAGTGGTCGTGTCCGTGAGCTGGGTTTGGCTGGCGTTTTTGGGCACGGCGGATGCATTGCAGTGAGAAGGTGGAGAGTTTTCGAAGGAAAGGAAGTGCCAAAGAGTCCGCTGTATTTTCAAATTTTCCTTCTTTTTATTTTGGCGCACTAAAACTTGTGCAATTAGTAAAATGCCCATTTATCCCAGCAAAAAATTAATTTCACGATTCCTTTAAAAAAAGAAGGATAAGGTATTTTCTAGATGTTATTGTTTTTCTTTTTACTTTTTTTTTACTCCCAATTGCATCAGTGCCACTGGTGGTGAGAAAATTTACTAGAGCGGAAACTTCGGAAGCATCCATACCAGTGAGTAGTTTACCCACAGACTGTGCTGGTACATCTGGATGGGTGCACGAACATGGGTGGCATGTTCTTGTCGTGGAAACTGGCCACGTGTTGTGACGCCGAACGTGGGGCCCGATTCTATGCAGCTAACAAGAGGGCGGCGGCACCCACCCAGGCGCCAACAGATGGGGCAGCCCCCAAGCTCAATGTGCCTGCAGGCCTGGCGGGCCTCTTCGCGGGGGGCATGCCCAAGCTGAGGCCGCTCAACCCCTCTGCCACTGGTGAGTGCAACCGCTACCGCCCTCCCGACGAGCGCCAGGTTTCGCCAAAATCCGTGCCGGTGGAAGATTGCCCGTCGCTCGTACGTGCACGGAAGTGGCTTTTCTGGCTTATTTGTAGAGTTTCGGACATTGTGGTGGAGAAGCTGTGTGGTTTTTAAAATTTATCTTTTGCAAGTGGGTATTGCGTGCAGTTATAGATAGTATGCAAATACTGGAGTGTCTAACATTTCGGTCTCATGTAGACATTGTCAGGTACTCTTTTTAGGCCTTTAGAATAAAAGGGTGCAGCACCTTACTTTTAATGCGAAAGCAATAACTGGTCTCAGGGAGTGAGCCGACATCATCAGCCGCGCCAACTGGCAGATGAATTTCCTCTCCCAATTTAGTGAAGTGAAGCCGCGATGTGAGGCATCCCAACTTTGAAGCTGCGCAAAAAGCTGAGCTGAACAGCAAATAAATTTGCCTCTCCAAGTGAAGCTGAAATCCCATTGGCTGGCGCGCGCATAGTTACAAGGAATGAGGCTCCCGTTGGCCGAGGCGCGTCACTTTCAAGGAGAGTTACCCCATGGTGCTACGTGCCCGCACCAGATAAAGCCGTGCCAGGGCACGCCGGGAAAGGAAGCGTTTGGCTGGCGGACCTTCCCAGAGAGGGCACGCCCTAGCATACTCTGGAGCGCAGCCTGGCCACTTCGCGAGAACGCGCGCAAGGACGACATACATGCTTTTGCATTCACAACTCATACGAAGTGCTTAGGTGTACCTCGAACCTTTTTTCAACAACTTTGCCACTTGCGTTTTGGAACCAGTAACCTATTGGCTTATGAGAGAGTAATGAGTTAGGGTATTTGGTAGTGATGGGCCAAACTTTTGCTGAATCTTGGGATTCGGCAAAGCTGAAGTTTTGCCAAACTTTTCTAAAGGTTCGGCAAAATACATTGTTGCCAAATGTAACAGTTGATATTTCTTTTCTTCAGGCAAAAAAAATATCTTAGGTTTTTGTTTTTTTTAACGCATCTTGACACAGTTATTACAAAATAAGGTGATATTCTACAAGGTCATTGTATCGGTGTTATTTTTACATGTTTACTGGCAATTTTACAGTGACTTTTTGCAGAAGTTGTGCGACAACAAAGTGGGGTAGTAGCAGCCGCATTCATGATACGAGAGTTTGGTTTTGAGGCCTCATGAGTGCAAACCTGCAAGTGTGTCATTGTTAAAACAAATGTGATAACACCGTGTTCTTACTTCCTCTGCAAGTGGCAGTGTTTCATGCGCAAAAAAGGTTATGCAATGGCTGCTGAGCCTTCACCAGAAGAGATAAAAATATTATTAAAGATATGCATGTTTTTCGATTTGAGTCACTTGTTGTGAGCTTTGCATTAAAGTGAATGTCCCATATTCGCAATGTCTCGTTTTTAACTTTTAAAATGACGGTTTTAGATGTTAGGACACACTCGGACGTTTAGGGAGATGGGAAGAGTTAGGAATGGTCCGATGTGCAACGTCGAGCATGATGGTTCTGTGTTTAGTTTTATGTGGATAGATGAAAACTGTGAAATAACACAAATTAAAAAGTAGTATTAATTTTTTGAGGCACAAACTACTTATTAGTTGAAAACGAAATTGCTACACTTGCAAGGAGTGCTTTAAAGTACTTGTCGGTCAGTATTTCAACTACCTCGTTGCATCACTGGAAATATAAAATAAAAATTACGTTATCCAGAATTTATCACATCATTCGTCACTTGCGCAGTGGACATTGTCAATTCCTGGTCTATCTTCTGTTCTTGAGGCAGAAAATATTGAAGAGAAACACACTCACAAAGGCTGACAAACACATTTACCCTATCACTTACTGTGCACTAACCGCTGGTAGTAGTACTACACTGTATTATAGTAACCGCACAACTGCATGGTATTTATTTGCAATCCATGTGCAGACTGTTGTCGAATTTTTGCCGAATCTTTGCCGAACTTCCCTTTAAAGTTCAACACGTGCCAAACTTTGCTGAATCTGAAGTTCGGAAGATTCGGTCTATGATAAGTTATTTGGTTACCCTTGGTAAAGGGTATGTACAATGCTGAGCTAGCGTTCCTCCGGACTTACTCTATGCTTATGTTGCGATTCTGAAGCATCAAATGGACAGATGAGTAAAGGTGTGCACGAAGTCATTGGGTGATATCGCCTAATACCAGTTGAATGTGCACTTGGTGTAAGAACTAATTGCACATCCACTCCGTTGCACTGTTCGTAGTAATTGCCTTTTGTAGTCTTGAGACTGAGGAAAGTCAATTCAGTTTGTTCCGCATAGCCTTCGGTCATATCTTTTGCATACCGCTTCGGCCCTCTCATCCGTGATTTTGGACATCCATTCCGGCTCTCCGAGAGGTGGCTATAGTGTCATTCGTAAGATAAAGCTGCAAATTCCTTTCCACAATTTGTTACATACTTTGCTACCGTTTGAGTAACCAACGGGTAACAGTCCTTAGTTTGACAATGCGAGGGGCATTCCCAGACTGTGTTAACGCCGACGGTGCACCCTAACGAGTTTCCGTGTCTCATGCTTGACGGTCTGGCATGTTCTGGGTCTCTGCTTTGGCCTTGCTGAACAAAAATACTCCTCCAGAATTCTTGAGGTATCATATTCCATTTTACCTCGCACCTTTGCTTGGTGAGCAGTCTTTAAAAGAGCCATGCAACAATGTTTGGACTTGGATCGAATAATTGTGGTAGTTGTTCCCTGTCACGTACGGATTAAAGAACTAAAAACAAATTTTGCTTACGTGCATTAGTTCTTTTTTTTTAAAAATGTCAAGCTATTGATGTTTTAGCCGCCTCCAAACCGCTCGTCTCTTACACAGTCTTTCGAGTCACGTGTGCAGTGACGCGCGATCGGGACACGGAGAATCCGGTTGGGTTCTTTTCAGAGACTCTAGTGCACACTGCTTCTGCTTGCGATTTACATGGTGACCTTGAAGGTTGGTCTGCGTGATGTGGAGAGGGGGGAGCGAAGAGCTTGCCTTTCCGAAAGGTAGTTTGACTGACGTAGTAGCAACGGGGGGACGCTCAAGGGAGGAATAATTTTTTTCACCTCTGGCAGTTGGCGCCACTAAAACTGATTAACTGATTATAGTACCGCTTTGTCGGTGATATTAGGTTTTTGATGCATTTACTCACATTGAACCGACAATATTTATAAAATATGGCATTAGATTGAGCACATGATGGCACATCTTGCCAGCTTATTACATTGTACCTCACCATCCCTTTAGGTAAGATAAACAATGTAAAAATTAAAAATTGAAAATCTTTTCAAAGTTAAAATTGTTGCATCGCCCCTTTAATTCTATTCGAGCCCGTCGTCAGACACCTTGAAAAAGCAGGTTTTGCTTGTGCGCAAGTTTTAGCTTCTCTACTGTACACTTTCTATTGAATGAATTTTCTATAGCTAATTAGACCTTCTAAATCACTTTATCTCCCACCAGGTCAGTTTGCTTTCACATTATACACCACATTCTACCTCTGTGCTGTGCCCAAATAGATAAATCTGGCACAAAATTGCCACGTCGCTGTTGCATTAGGAAGCCCATAATCCAGGTGTTCTCAAGTTTCCTTGATCTCGAGGATCCCCTATTGCTCTTTGTCTATGACCGTAGAACCCCTCCTGAATTTAGCATTGATGTAATAAAGCAGGGCGCAAGCCTACAGAGCTTGGTAAACAACAGTGCACATACTATAGTCGGTTGCAAGCTAAGAAAAAACCGGAAATGCCTCTCAGAGGAAAATGTAATCCTACGCCGAGAAACGCCAGCCAATCGTTTTCATGACGTCACAATTCCGTGGACCAATCGCGACCCTTTTGAAAAAAAGAAAAAGGTCAACATGGCTGCTGGCCTTAGCAATGCGACGCTAGTTTCTCGTGACAATTATTCTGCTTTTTTGCACCGTGTTTTACGTGCCCGAGGTTACGTCACGAAATCTTAATGGTATCGGCTTGCGTTTGCAGCAGTTTTTGCGCGACAACGTGAGAATCCAGCGACGCTATCGCCAACGAAAATTTCGAAGCGGGCGCAAGGCTTAGCACTGCTGAGAGCTGGAAGACGGTACGTTAGACAGTATCTTGGACAGAAAATGAATTGGGAAGACGGTACACTGTACATGACTTTCTTTCTTTACTAAACAGCTATTTCGTTGACAAAAACGTATTCGAACTTATTTAAATGTCCTGAATGAATTAAATAAATATTGTAGTAGTTTAAGACACGTTTCCTGGAGGAAGAAAAAGCAACGTTGCTAGCGAACTACTTTCTCGACAGTGGAGGCACTTCAGATGGGCGCAATGCGCTTGTGGGTGGAGCTAAAAGATTGTTCTTAGCTTGCAACCGACTATAGGGACCTAATACTTCGCACATAGTTATGCACTAGTGGACAGCTTAGGATTCGTTAAAATTGTGCTCAAACTGGGAAAACACATTGCTTTGTGGAAGGGGGGACAGTCTTAGAAATTCAGGAGCTGGGAAAGGGGGAGGGGGGGGGAAACCAAGGATCATACTATAGGGAACCCCTGGGTTCCTAGGAAGCCCTGGGGTTCCCCAGAGTTCTCTCCAGGTTTCTCCGAGCTCCCAAATTTCCTCAACCATCTCTGTCCCAAAGTAAAGTGTTCCTTGCAGCAGATCTGAGCCATCCACTGATGCGTAACCTTGTTGAGCCTCACACTCCCTGTAGCCACTGACGAGGCTAGAGCTGCAGGGAGGGTCTTCAGTTCTCCCGCCTCCAGTGGGAGCTTCCTACCTTTGACAACGCTCTGACGTCTCGTGCGCACTCAAACCATGAACGAAAGTGCGTGCCGAGGGCCAAGCACTAAAAACGCACACCCTATAGTTCTCATTTTTGTGTGTGATTATAGTATGCACGTTATTGTTTACAAGGTCCGTATTCTTTTGCACCACTTTATTTCGTCAATGCCTAACAGGGGTTTTTCTTCTTTCTGTCGAGGCAGAGGGAGGTTCCTCGAGATCAAAAAGTTTGAGAACCCGCGCCTCAATTGAACGACCAGTGTCTTGCGCAGGAGCGTCACCGGCCCCGCCTTCGACCCCTCGCTCCGGCGCCCCGTCGGGTCCCCGGCCGGGGGGTGCACCCCCGCAGCAGCCAGTGGCACCGAGCGGGGACACGCCCCCGGGCCGGCGGGCCCCGGCCCCGTTCCCGGCGGACCTGGCCCCCCGGGGACCCCCTCCCCTGCCGCCGCCGTCGAGCCAGAAGCCCAGCCTGGGCCCCCCCCAGGGCGGCCCCTCCCCCGTGTCCCGCAGCCGGACGGGCCCTCCGCTCCCGAGCAAGCCCCCGGGGGTGACAAGGTCCGCCTCGCAGACGAGCCTCGGGGCCAAGAGGGGCCCCGCACCCCTGCGCGCTCCCCAGGTAAAGGGATGTGCTCTCCCATTCTGGGTGCAGTGCCTGAAACGTGTCCAACTGGCGTGTTTTACATCTCGTACCACCTGTGTGTCGGAAGTGGTCCCGATGTGACGATAGATGATGTCACGGCAGCCGACGTGTCGTGTGGTCGGACGTCGCAATCCTAGAAGTTTGTCTTCCAAGTTCTGGCGAAAACAACGAGTTGTGCCGCCGTCGTCGCGGTGTCTCAACTCGTTGCTGCGGAAGCTTCCGTCGATTGTCAAACTGTGAGCAAGCAACTGCAAGCCTCCTCTGCTCTGCCGCCACCAGATTCGTGGCGGGCAAGAGCATGACACTTTTACGACGTCGTCGAGCAGAAATTGAGGAACCTCAGATGAAGATGTAATAAACACTCCAGTCTTTTCTGGCATATAAGTCGCTGTTCTTAACGTGGAACATTCTTTGGCTAGGTGTTCAGCATTTCGTGAAGCCGAAAAGTGAAGCCTTGATAAAAGTGTGGCTACGAGGCTCGGCACTGATTGGTTGACGGGTGGGAGACGAGAAGCGAGGTGCTCGACGCCGGTTGGTTAAGGGTGAGGTCATGTGACCAGGGTTGGAGTGAGGAGGAGACTTATGTGAGAAGGAGTGGGTTAGAAAGTTCTTGTAGATCATTAAAGTTATCCTTTCAAGTGTGCACATGCCACACATTAAATTATCTGGTAAAGAGCGCCGTACAAGTAGGCGTCGGGCTGAACGGGATAGACGTGCTGCTGAACGATGACGTAAACGTTTGTAATGCTAGTATGTTTCACAAATGCAACACAATCACATAGCAAATTGCCATACATTATTTTTTCAAAATTTTCATCTGTGCAACTTATACAATGGTGTGACTCAATGCATTCTTCTTCTGTGAGTATCGACCTTAATGCGCAAGCTTGCCACAGGGGTTATATTTCTCGTTCGATTCATTGATAAAAAATATTGATACTTACTCTCACTTGCACATGTATTGCAATCGTAGTACATATGAGTGGGCCTTTTCAATGCAGTTTCGCCACACCAACTGTACAAACATATATGCGCTACCTACACACCGGGGCAACTTACATGCCAACTCTTTTGCGCAAACAGCCATTTATGGCGGGTGCGACTTACAAACCAGAAAATATGATAACTGTCTGTACACAAACTAACGGGGAAAGCGGTGGCGGCCTTTCGTCAGCATGGCGGAACGCGGCTTACCGGAGGTCAAAGGGCGTCTTGCAAAACTGCCCCATGGGAGGGGTCGTTCCGACACCCAACCACCCCCCGTGCACGCAGGTGAAGCCCCCACCTCCCCCCAAGAGCCCCACGGTGGGCGCGGTGGCGGCCAGTGGCCCCAGGTTCGGCACGGTGGGGCCGCACGCGGGGGCACGCCTGCAACTCCCCGGGGCACCACTGGCCCGGCGCCAGAGCTTCGGGGCCCCTGACTCCCGGCCGGCCGAGGGGGCGGGGCAGCAGGGGGCGGGGCCCCAGCCCGGGGGGCCCGCGAAGCCCTCGGGCCCGCCCCCGCCGCCCCGCAACGTCAGCGTGCCCAGCAACCTGCACCAGGCGCACAAGGTGAGGGGAGGCTCGTCGGTCCCTGGCTCTGTTACGCATGTCCGGGCCACGGTCGCTGTTAGCTTAAGGAATGCGGGGCGCGGCTTATTGTGTTTGCGCCTTCTTTGCTTCACGATTCGTTCCTTCGCGCTCTTACCGGCCGATGCTGCACTCGGAGTGGCTTGTTTGAGCAACAGTAACAAGCTGGGAACTCACCGCGTCCTGCGTTTTTAAAGGGAAACTGAAGGGGTTCTGTATTTGAGGTAAAGCACTCAAATCGTTTTCATTTGGCCTCCAGGATCCTGAATGTTGGGATTAGTTCTCAATTTAGTGTACAAAGGCTGCAGAAAATCATTTCCAAAGTACCGGTGAAGACCCTCCTTCGTGGGGCGTGACGTCCTATGAGGACTTCGAAATCTCCGCTCTCGCGCATCTTCTGCGGCCATCAAAGCTATGCACGCACACTCTTGCCGTTTTCGAAAAGGTCAGAAAAAGATGTTGCGACTGGACCTCTTCAGCTTCGATTTGAGAACCTCTTCAGCTTCGATTTAAGCACTTAAAGGGCAACTCCGCTCGATTTCGGAAATTTTCAGATAGTGGGTGATATAAACGTGAAAAGTACTTCAAAACAACCCTAGACCGTTTGTCTCATTAAAAGCAAAATATTTTTCGTGCGATTTGTTATTTACCATAATAGCAAACCGAAACTGAAACTTCGGCACAGCCGGGCAACATTGTACCTTCAACGTCAGTTGCATATGCACCCACGTGGAATACAGTGGGTCACGTGATCTACCAGCGGTAACCCAGAAAAGATGCGGATGCGAGGGGAAGGGCAAGGAGGGAGGAGGGAGGGCGGGCCTAGCCGCGGCGGCGAACAGGCAACGCAAGCAGCGACGAAGCAGGCTATGTAGGCGGCAACCCAGGCGGTTAGTCTGTTGGCACCAGTTGGCACGTATGTCAGCGAAACTCATCCCGTACAACTCTCTCTCCCTCTTTTAGAGCACAGCTCTTGGGGCCCGTTTCCAGCCTGAGCGGCGTCGCCGTCGGCGTCTGCAAAACCGGGGGAAGGGGGGGGGGGGGGGGGTCACGTGACCCCCCCCCCCTGAGGTCACGTGACCCCCCCCCCCTGAGGTCACGTGACCCCCCCCCCCTGAGGTCACGTGACCCCCCCCTCCCCCGAGATCACGTGACCCCCCCCGGAGTCACGTGACTACCCGCAGGTGACGGGACCCCCCTCAGTACCCTTCCCTACTCCTCCTCAAGAGCTGCGCTCCAATTCGGCGTTACAGGGATTTGTAAACGGCTTTCATTTTTTGTTTCTCTTGTTCTCTTTCATTTTTTTCTTTGTCTGTCTCGCCTCTTTGCCTTGCTCAAACGTGGAGCGCGTCCATAGCGCCGCCTGGTAAGCTCTCCCTGGAAAAGAAAATACCAAGAAAAAACTGCGTATGCAAACGACGTCAGCCACAACGGAAATACAACGTTGGCTGCGCCGCATGTCGCCCGCTAAATTAGCGGATCTTTGTGACTTCACGCGTCTCAATTTTTGTCTGCCGGTTTAGTGATGCAGTCTAGAGGTTTTTGCGCGACACAAGGGACAGTCACAAGCGAGTAGACACGGATTGCGCTTGTCCGTGTCTACTCGCTTTTGATTGTCCCTTGTGTCGCTCAAAAACCTCTAGACTGCATCATGAACCAACTAGGCCAACAACACGGTTTAGTGATCGTTTAGGTGGTATTACGTTATAATATTTGACATTCGGTCTCTCTAGATGATACTAAAGAGAGTCGCTGTGTTTGCTAACAACCGAGAATGAGGCGGAGTTTCCCTTTAACGAGTGTATGAACAGTTCTGCTTTGTTCTCAATGGTTTGCAAGCCTCTTTTTGGTAGTCGGGTGAACAAATACATTGGGTGCTTTTGTCTCAACTCCTTTTGTCTCAACTTTGAAATCATATTTTTAATTTTACTGAAAATAAAAACAAAAAAAAACTATGTTTTGAGGGCATTTCTGAAATGAAAGAGGGCGCAGACGGCAAACTTGGCAGACTCTTTATAAGGTATTGATAGTTGAAGCGGCCAATGCAAAATTGGGAATTGCACGTTTGATAGTTTGTCGTTTTCTCGCTTCTCGGTCTACTGCACTGGGACTCTTCTCTGATGATCTCGAAATAAATTTTATTATCCCTAATGAATTGAAAAATTTCTTATATTTTTAAAAAGAAAAAAGGGAACCTCTTTTTCTTAAAGTAGTTTTTGGCAGAGTTTGACGAGTTTTCATATGCGACTTAAAAAATATATTTTCATTGCCTCAGTATTGCCAGTAAGCTCTTGCTTGGCTCTTTTTATTGAGTACAAATCTCATATTCTATGTACAAAGCAGGTAGTCTTGCGATTGGGAAAACCGGGAATTGTCAGGGAAATTTTAGTTACCGGGAAAAATCAGGAAATTGTCAGGGATATTGTCAAAACGCGAGCCCAGTCAGGAAAAATGAGTGGGAAAGGTCATCTAGTGCCCTGAGCAAAGACTTGAGGAGTGGGGGGCAGAAAAATAGGCAATAAATTCTGCTTAGAGCGGAGTGCGTGCTCTGCTCACCCAATGTAGAGTGTGCTACCCGATGCAAAGGGAACACCCGACAAATCCAGTCCAAGCCTTGGATTGGATTGAGGGCACGACAGTAGGCTAGATTCAGTTAGAGCTACTAGATTTAGTAACAAATGGGAAAGCCGCAGACCCCAAATCAATCCAAGCCTTAAGCCGAAAGTATCCGAAAGTGTGCATCTGTCGGCCATGTTGGCCATGCCGCCATGCTGCCATTCGGTCATTGACGTGTGTGGTTGAACGTCATGTTTTCATAGTGTTTCCGGAAGTGGTCCCTTCACTGACGATGTTGGTGGCAAGAAAGTGCTCGTTCAATCTGGTCTGGGCGAACCTGAATATTTCGGAATATGCAAGTTGGATTAAGCCTGTGCAAAATAATCCTGAGGCTCACACTGCTCAATGCTATATGTTTACCCGTCCCTACATTGGTCAGGCATTTACACCTAAAATTGTCAGGGAAAACCTGGTAAAGTCAGGGAATTTCAAAAGAATAATTTGCTAGACACCCTGACAAAGTAAAGTTACATATGTTTTAATAAGCGAATGTTTAGAAAATGTAGCAAGTATAAAATCACTTTTCTCAAAAACTCAAATTTTTATGGGGTTTGTAAGCAACCTGCTGCAGAATGCGGCATGCAGCCGTTCTGCTGCAGGTCACTGTCCAATTTGGCAGTTTACGGAAGCTTGGGCAGCCAGGACTTGAAACGCCGCGACGATAGCGACACTAGGATTTGCTCCTACTTTTTGCCAGAGCATCTACGGCCAACCGCCAGGATCGTGACGTCGGACGCCGTGACGGGCCAGCTCCTGTGGCGTCATTCGTCCCCATTTTGGGATTACTTTCAATACATGGGCAGTATAGGGTGCTTAACACACCTGTCTGAGACGCGTTCCAGGTGTCATAGTTACGGGACATCGCAGAGTAGAACGGAGTGATGGCTGGTTGTGGTCGTCCGGGCAGCGTAATGTGCCTAGATTTTGGAGTGATTCACACTGCTAAATTTGGGGTTGCATGATTTATGGGTCGCATTTGGAATGCTAGCTGCGAGGAGAAAGCAGAAGCGTCTGTCGTCTGCAAGTGTCTTATGGCTTGGCTCGGCTTGTTTGCCCAATATCCTCCGAACCATGCGCCAACTTACACGTGCGCATGAGCGACCAATCTGCGAGAGGTGTCTCACACAGATTGGTGGCTCGTGCAAGCAACCCAAGCCCTGATCAACTCAAACCATGAGCAACTCAAAAACAGTGACCAACTCGAAGCAAGAGCAACTTTCTCTGGGGACGTGTGCCAACCGTGTGTTCTCTTCCCGCACAGTCCCGGAGCGCGCCCCCGGCGCCGCCGCTGCGTGCCCCCCCTGCCTCGCGGCCTCCCCCTCCGCCCCTGAGGGGCCAGCCCCCTCCCCTGCCCAGCAGCCTGCCCCCGCAGTTGCCCCAGCGGAACCAGCCCAGGCCCCAGGGGCCTGCCGCGGCCCCCCGGCCCTCCCCCACGCCGCCCCTTCGCAGCTCCTCCATGAGGAACTCCGCGGCACCTGCGGGTGAGTGTGCCACCCCACGCGCACCGCCGCCGTTGCCAGCATTGGTGCAGGCGGTGGTGGCAGCGCTCGTTTTTGCAACGGCATGCCGCACTCCTCTTTTACGGCGATAGATGTCATGGGCTCCTCCCACCACTGGAAAGGACGTCGGTTGTTGATATGGTAGTCGTAGTCATTTATGCTGTTGGCGTAAAAGGGCGTCCGTCGTCGGTGCAGCTTAATCCTCGAAAAAGATTGCCCGCCGCCCGTGGGAATTGAACATGGGTTCGGTGCGTCCGAAGCAAAGGCGTTACCACGGAGCTTCGCCGCAGCGTTTACAACCCGCCTTGTACATAGGTCCACTGCACGCGCTCTCTGGAAATATACAAAGAAATAATGGATAACCAAATGCCTTCGTAGCACCGCCTTGTGCCGGAAGAAGCACTTTCACGCGTTTCGAAACAAAAAAGAAACAAAAGTGTTCAGAACCGAATGGTCAGATGTCCATTTTGTTCCGATTGCTTTTCTCCACGCACACCACGGTGCATGAACACGACGCTGATGCCCAACGATTGCCATGGCTTACAGTCGAGCTCTTGCTTCGACTGTACTGTAAATTGACGTAGAGCAGCTCAATTGACGTAGAGCAGCTCAGCGCTCTTTCAGCGACTGCTCTGGGAGTGGGGACTTTCCTCGGCATGCTCGCATACGCAGCAAGGTGGACTACACGCACTATGAAGGCTCTTGCTTGCGGGCCCCAAAGCGGTGCAGGAGCGCCAATGTTAGGTGCCGTAGTTGAAGAGGGAGGGCGAGAGATGCAGCTGGAAAACGAGAGCACCGAGCCAAACGGCGACAAACAGCCAATTGCCACTACACACCGCCAGTTTCCAGACAGCCCGTTCAGTGTGTGATTTCAAGTGGACATCAGCAAAGGTGTCCTAAATGTTATGCATTTAGAACACGTTCAGGAAATGCCAGACAGACAGGCAATTAATTTTTATTGCTAGATGCATTTTAGCGGAAGTAAAGTTGGGATTCACATTGCTGTAGCTGTGGCTGTACTGTGCATCATAAGCTAAATTTAGGAATACCGTATTTACTCGAATCTAACATGCCCTTGATTGTAACGCACACCCATTTTTCGAGGTCCGAACAAAAAAATGCTCTGACCTCGATTGTTACGCGCACCAGATTCTGTAGGTTGGATAAAGAAATGCAACTTTTTCTCTTTTGGAACCACGAAGGTTTATTCCAAATGCTTCAATCTTGCGATGAAATGAACGGCGCTGTCTCTCGCCGGCAAGGTCGTCATCACAACGACGGTCCGGTGCATCACTTGTCACAAATGACAAGTGATGAGGTGGCGAATAACTGAGTAAACTAAATGTTTAATTGGGCGAACTTGTGCCCAAAAATAAAGAAGGAAACGGAAGAAAGCAGAGCGTCGCGTGCGTTGAAGTCGGCGTGTCAGCAGAGTTGAACGCTGGGGCGAAAACTGACTTGACAAGGTCGCGGGCGGCCTCTTATCTAGAGTGCGTCACTATCTCAAAGATTCGGCAACGAAGGTTTGAGCGTAGCACGTTCGGGGCAAGAATGAACACACACTTTCTAGAATAACAAAAGAGATAAACAATAGAAGGTATGTCCGCAGCAAGGATAAATGAGAGCCTTCTAGAAGTCCGTGACCCTGCACGCGGCAGTATGCATCTCTCGTCATCGCTGTCGGACGGCTCCTTATAGCTGTCAACGGCCCAAAGCATTTCATCTTTGGTGCCGTTCATGGCGTTAGGCACTTCTTGAAGGCCTCGATAGCCATGGCAGACGGGATCGTGCACCACGCATCTTTCGCCCATTCGGTGAAGTCCTGCAGCGACTCAAGCTTCTGGAACACTAAACGCACGTGATGCGGCCCAATTTCCATCGCTTTCCGCGCTCAATATCACTTTTCTTTTGAATCCAGCATCATGGTAAATGCGGCGTGTCTTTGCAGTGGGAACCTTCATGCTGATACGAACGTAAAAACACGACTATGCTAAGTGTTGCCTCTCAGCTTCTCAGCGGGTAATGGAGTGGCCATTTTGAAATATCGATGGCGATATGGTAGCGCAGTTTTGGACCTATTTCCCCGGAAAAAAGGTGCGCGTTAGGTTCGAGTAAATACGGTACACCACTACGATTTATGTGCTTGGTGCCACCATGAGCCACAAGACCTGGCGTAGCCTAGAGTCACTGTATGGGTTCCCAGAGTAATGAAACTCCGAAGGTTCGTTTAGAACCACGGCGCGACGCTGAAACCGAAACTATGGCGCCGCCATCTTGGGTCCACGCGTCGACGGGAGTGTGAACGCAGTAGTAACATGCATCGGAGCGTGTTAAAGGAGCTGGTTCATTCCGCGATACGCGGAATGAACCAGCTGTAATTGGCACTCTTCTCACAAAGCTTGCTTGTTGCTGTGGGCTCGAAATCTTTCCATTTTACAATGGCCAGCCAACCTTCTTCCTCCGTCTTGCAGTTGTGTTCTTTCCAAACGGGATTCGGAAGAGTCTCTTTCCATCCTCCAACCTGCTGCTGCACACAAAAGCGCAACAAGCAGGCATTGTGCCACTAAGTACACAACCTCCTTGTTTTTGATGTCGGTAACCACGTGGAAAAGACGGCGCATAAATGCGTGTTCAATGAGCAGTTGTTTGCTGGACCCAAGATGGTGGCGATTAGAGCCGCTTGAAGCGCTACTGGAGGTGAGTCTAGCGGTGCCTGTGTCACGTGATTGCTACTGTCTAATGATGCTCACCAAGCCAAAATATGATCGGCCAGAGTGAATATGATGTTGGCGAAACGCAAGAAGAAAAGGAATGCGTTACTCTGGGAACCCATACAGTGACTCTAGCGTAGCCTGATGTGCGTCAAGCTACGCCGTTTCACGTGATGACATGTGACCATGAGGCGGAACATCGGGCTTTCACGTGACTGCAGTACGTTGCACGGCATGATATCACATTGCACTATGGCCGACGCCCAACATTACTAGGTCTAATAACGCCATTGACACCATGACTTTGTGCAGTAAGTCACGTGATCCAACGTCACGCTGTCACGCTGCCCAGATTTGCTTACCTATATATCTCAGGTGCATTTTGCCTGTGGTACATTTGGACTGTAGACTTATTGGACAGATTGTGTGGCAGATAGGCCTTCATGGTACGGGCTACTAGCCTTTTTGATTCAGCATGGCTCTTCTGAGCCGGAATTAATGCTACTACCACAAAATCCCAAACGTATGCCCATTTGTGGTGAAGAGATTTGTGCAACCTAGGAACTGCTTTGCTAACCCCAATTCCACGTCACACCTTGCTTTGCACTGCGGCTAAGAGATAGGAGAAAGAAAAACTCAGTCCAATGATTGCGATGATCAAGGAAATGTCGGGGTTGGCGCTAATATTGTTCATTGCATTGTTTCTACTCAATGTGTATGAGACATGGTATTTTGATCCGATTTTCTTTTAGAGTTTCTTTTACCCTAGACCTTGGGCAATCCGAAACGAATTTGCTTTCATTTGCAGCGTTTCTTTTTCTGCTCGCTTTTCTCTGGTGATGCTGCAACTACTACACGGGGCCGAATCGTTGCTTTCGTCTAAAGCGCTGTAGATACCGCGCCCCTTGCGCTTGTACAAGTGCTCAACAGTCGCCCCTGGGAGGGTCGTCTTCCAAACAACTTTCCGCACTTGTCGGGTCGCTGGGATTGCGAAGCCATGTAGTGCTGCTCCGTTGTTATTTTTTCCCGCCAGAGTGATGGCCTTTCTTTTAAATAAAGCCCCCTAGTAGAATTTGTTATGTTTTTCCATCTTTGAACAGCAGACACGAGTCCTTAACCAGAGAGAATGCGCGGGATACAAAAACCGAAATGGCGAATGTAAACAAACAGTCACGATGGCGATGGGGCTAGCCACCTTATACCGAGTATTACTTTTTTCTTTTTTGAGTTTCGATCGTAACACGCACATATTTTTGGGCACCAATTCTGGTGAAAAAATGTGTGCGTTAGAATCGTGCAAACACGGTACTGTATTGCGTAGAGAGGATCAACACATGCTTTTGACTTACAGTCCACTTTGCTCTCAAGGGCTCGGGGACACTCGATTGTAATCGAAACTCCAGCCTTTTGTTTCTTTGCCATGCCCCTGAAATTGCCTGACCGAACAACCCCTCGACAACAAGGCAAGGCCGTAGTGCTGGAGTTTTCGTGTCACCCCAGATTGAACACGAGCGGTACGTTGGTGTTTGGCTGAAACTCTCGTTTCATCAACGACGACGCAAGTCCCAGCCGAGCGTCGACGCAGCCCCCGCTTTTAATCTGTGCCTCACGCCGACCTCCGCGACTCCAGCGCTACGGCCGTGCCTCATTATTCGTCGCCTGGCTGGACCGAAAAGCGTTGTCCCTCACTCGAGGCCTCCCTCTCCGTGCAGCTTTCGAGAGCCGCTTCAGCTTTCGCCCCATCGACCACGTTCCTGGCCCAGTCTACGCGGCAACGGAGGTCAAGAGGTACCCCAGCAAAGGTACGGAGCACCCCTCTATTTGACGGGCGGTTCCGGTCTGCTCTTGGGGCGCCCGAGATCGTACGATAGCCGGTTTCACCGTGACTTGGTGAACAGCAAATGCCACGCCACGGGGGTGTCGGTAATCGGCGTGGCAGTATCTGATAGTTCTGAGCGGTCTGTACCTTCAAGCACTGGTGCCGTAGAAGACGGCGTTAGACTTAGGAGCGCACAGGGATGTTGCACCCATTTTGCGCTGTCGGCCTCCACTGGAGCCTCTATGCTGCTTACGCTTGCGCTTCCGAGAACCGAATGTCTACGACTTCCGACCGTTGACCGCCGGCATCATAGTAAAGGAATGGAAGAATGTAACTTGCGCGTGAGGAAGCTCGAAAACGAAAGAGCGAACTAAAGCGAAATACACGGGTCCGTGTGTGCGAGTAGAAGACAGAAGCTGCCGCTTCGCCTGGCTGGCCAATAGGAGCGCGTGCAATATGCTGCGGTGCTTTACAAAGCATGTTTGCCGTGGGGTTTTCCCTCCTGTACACACAGCGTTGAACAATGAAGTGCAATGTAAACAAAACGAAGACACACTCTTTCCAATCAGGGGACCCACTCCGCGCTAGACCTAATTGTCTGGGAGTGGGCTCGCTTTGAAAAAGGTAAACACACTGGTCTGGCCGCGTCTCCGGCCAGCGCGCACGGCCGCCGGCACATTGAAAAAAATTTATTCCCGAGTAAACATGTTACAGGTGAAGATAAAAAATTTGTGAGAACGTTCTTTATTACTTGTAGAAGATGATAAAAATAGTTTTCAAAACTACTTTTGTTTTTCTAAAACGCAATTCTTGGGTTGTGCCCCCCCTGAACAACTTGAGTCAAATTATGCGAAAACGTCATGTCTATCAAAGTCGAAGGGAGTAAGACATGACAAGTACCAGTGTCCATCACCCACCTCAGTTTTTAGGCCAGTATCGATTGCCAAAAACACGCTGAGCAATCGCCCACCCCCCAAGCATCCCGACACGGTCCCCAATCCGCGAACGTTCGTCCTAACCGAATGAAGTGGCCGCGGACCAGATCGCAGAACGAATCATCCTATCAAATCGTAGAATGATCGTCAGTCGTGGCTTGCAGGTGACAGGTTCTCATTCTTCCTCCATCCTCGCATGCACGACTAGTCAACGTCGTAGTGAACACTAGAAAACATGATTGCGCTTTGAAGACAGGGACATACCAACTTGCCCAACAATCAGAACGTCGTAGTGGCCATAGTCCCGGCCTGCCGCTCAGCTTCCGATTTTTCTGCGGATTTGACGACTTCGTGGAGCAGTGATCGACGTCTCGGAGCCCACAAAAACAAGACAGAGGTGGCTACATGAAGAAAGGTGATGGAGGGGAGAAGAAAGGCTCTAAGAGATTGGAGAGGAGAAACTTTGTGCGCATTGCCGCGAAGCTGCACTGCCCTGCGAAATTCATGTGTAACCCGGACCCCCTACTCTGCCTTCGATTTTCTATGAATGTTGACGCGGGTTATGCGCAAGAAAATATGGTAACTCGGTATTCTTTTGCGCTCGTCTTTTTGTGGTTATCTATCGTACAAACTGTTTGCTCACCAACTGCCTATGGGAATTGTGCCTGCGCACACGAGAGAAAGACACGAGATAATGGGTGTGTCTCCCAAGGAAAGAAGGGGTCCCGTGTACAGGTCGATGCGGGCCCCGTTCCAGGTCCACACAAAACAAGGCTGTGACCAAAGAGTGGTTCCCATGCTTGTGTTTATTGACGAGAGAGCATGCTGGCACGCTGGCGCTATCTACAAGGTGGCCCCAAAAGAGCAGTTCACGAGGGCGAAGGTTTTGCAGTGTATGCAGGATCAAACACACTTACTACTTGTGAGAAACGTCTGTTTATAACGTTGTCGAACGTTTTTCCGAGCCAACAAACATGAATGACGCACAGAATAAAAAGGAAATGTGTACGGAAGTCGTGAGTGTTCCCCGGCCGCATGTTGGCTGGCGCCAGCATCCTCTCATCGTGAAAGAGCGCAAGGTTTTAACGCGGTCGGTCGTAAGCAGTTGCAAGGTGTGATCCAGCCTTAAATATTCCAAGATGCATTAGGGGGTTCACTCGAAGGGTTTGTCGGTATACGCCGAATGCACTGTACTGGTCGCCTCGATTGATTACCATGCAACATAAAACCCCGGTATATTTTCTTATATTTTCTAGTCAAAAAGTGTTTTGATCAGTGCCTGTGTGTCTCTCCCTGTGCAGTGCCCCGGCAGAACCATCAACGTCAGGCTCCCCCGCCCCCCACGCACTTTGCCGGAAGCTTGGCGCAGCAGACCGCGGCCTGACCCCGGGCCCCCGCCGCGGGAGAACCGGCTGCCCTCTCCGGCACCCTCCCCAGGGAGCGGGGGACGTCGGACGTTACGTTGGTCCCGCCCTCCGAGAGTCGTACCCCGGGGGCCCCCCCGCGGCGGGACACGATGCCTCTCCGGCCACGCTTGCCGCAATGTGTGCGGACGCTTTTCTTTTACGCCGGGCCGGCGCATCGTGCGCGCCTCTCGCCCTCGCGGGGGACGCGGCGCCGGTTTAGTATTTCGCCCTTCTTTTACCGGTTTCTTCGAGCTAATTTTAAACTTGGAAGTGCGCTTCTATCGTTCCCAACCAAGATTAGGCAGGGGTGACCTTGGTTTCCAATCAGAGTCAAGCTGGTGTAACCTTGGCCCGACCTTGAATGACCTTGACACAACCAAGGTCGAGCCAGGTCGTTCCCGGCTTTTTGGTTGGTTGCTCTCGGGCTGGCGGGGTGCTCGAGCTTTTCCAGGCTCCTCTGGCACCCCGACACTCGAGACCGGGAGCGTCGACGAGATTTGGTGCGTCGCCAATCATTTGTGGTTGCCGGACGCAGGCTGTCTCACGATTTCGGGTTTGTCTGGCCCATTCAGGTGCAGGTAGCACAACCTCGTTTTATTTTTGCGCCTGGGCAAACCGGGTGTCCTCTCCGAAAGGTGCAGAGCCACTGTTCTGCCAACTGCCGCAATGCATGTGCGGTAAGTTGAGAGGGCAGACCTTCCGCGTTTGGACGCGTTCGCACTAGCTCCTGCTCCGCGATCTTGCCCCTTGCGACGCATTGCGTCGCGCTTTATGTGTACAAAAACGAGTTGTATTTTTACCGGCTGCAGATACGGGCCCGTGTACATTAGAAAGCGGAGGCCCCTTCTATTCTACCGTGTGGAACAGATGGATTGAACCCGCATCCAACGGATCGTCGGAATTGGTTTCGTGTGCTAGGGCTTCGATTTACGACGGTGCGGCGCTAAGCGGCGCATTTGTTTCGCCGAGTTGTAGAAGAAAATATATTTGCATGGAAGCTAGGATAAAAGCCAAGGTGTTGCTACAGGTTGATGCAGAGTGACTCTTTTTCGTGAGGGAACGGACGTTGCTGTGGGTCATAAAGGCACCCGATTGGATTGCCTCGGGGGAACGGGAGTGCTGTTAAAACACCGTCCTTCCTCCTTTCTTATTTTACGTTGAATCGAGCGTCCCGAAAGTCGCAGCATTTACTGCATTAACACCAAAAGAAAATTTGTTTGTCCGCTGGAAAAGTTCTGTTTATCGGGGCAGGTTGCGACGTTGCAGTGCACTAAACCGATTCCGGCGACTTGTTCCAAAACGGGGTCGATCCTTTGGGCCCACTTTGTAAAATGTATATATATAAATATATTATATATATATATATATATATAAGGCAGTCATTGCTCTCCGCACTGGATACGAATTTCGACCCATAAAACGGAGTGGCCCAATGCGCGTCGCGCAAGTTGCTGCGGGGATCGGCGGGATTCCCTCTCGAGTCGCGACACGTCTGATCGTGCAGACGCCAACATTCCCTCTGTGTTGTTTGTTTCGAGCCTGTCCCTCTTGGATTCTTCACGTGGATCTCTGGGGGCAAACGAGCGATGTGCGATTGTTCCCACAACCACTGTTAAGTGCACTCGATTTGAGTCGGGCCCCCATGCTGCAGAATCTTGTCGAAGCATTCTAGAAGCAGCGCCGCGCGAGTTTCCCATTGGGGTAGAGACTGTCGGGTCTTCCATCGCCTCTGGTAATACGCACAGCTTCTCCGGGTAGCAGCGGGCTACTTGCCCCAGCGATTCTCGGCTCACAATAAAGACCTCTGGTTCTCTACCTTTTGTTTGAGTGCCCTTTCAGTTGTTTCACGCAAATGCAAGAAACCTGTGCACTGGGCAGCTGCCGGCAAAGAACCAGAGCACAACTCTGTTCTTTGTCAGCGACCACCCAGTGAAAGATGTCTTGAGCATTCAGAGATTTGTGCGCAAACTTTTCTTGCCGTGCTGAAGTTCTAGTTTGCAAAAGTTTGCCACTTTCCGACATGGCGGAGATTTGTACTTGCAAAGTTGGAGGCTCTCGAGGTTTCCGAAAATTTGTGTTCAACAGTATTGAATTTATTCATTGTTTTTAGATTTCGAGACAAGTTCACAAAGTTTTAACCTTGTGGAGTCCGAGTTCCAGAGTTTAGTAAATTCTTCGCAGATTTATCTTTCATAATTGTAAGCGGAGATTGGCAAATTTTACTTGAAATTGCGCACTTCGTGCAGCTGGGGTAATGTATACCCTAGTTGCGGTGAAAGTAATTGCAGCCACCACCTGACTGGCCAGCTTGGTGATTGGCTTGCCTGTTGTAGCTTGGAGTCTGTCTGCAAGGACAGCGATGGTACTTCGAATATACTTGGGTTGCTTTTAACTTGCACAGTCGCATGTTTCTGTCAGCACAATGCGGTAATCTGGAGTAGTTGCCAAGTCTTCAGAGCAGGTAAAAGTAGATTCCGACTTAGACATGTCTTAAAGGCCTAGAACCATTCTATTCACAATGGATTGTCCTGAAATCCTAGATGCGATTCGAAGTGCGTCAGACTTCTTAACTTCGCAGGTTCAGAAGTGCGAAAATTGTTGAAATTCTCGACGTAACAAGCTCAAAAGTTCCGGGACTGCTCGACGTAGTAAGCTCAAATTTTCTGACCTTCGAATTCTTTGCTTCAATCGTTAAACCCTGGGCTCAAAAACGGTTTTGCGACGTCTCAAGCCTTCATTTGTGCCTTGGCCACCAAATGGGCGGCCGGCGCCATCCTAAAATTAATAAATGCCGAGCATGTGCCCGTACCCCGATAAGTGCCAACTCTCTACTTTTGAAACATTTGAAAAATGACTAATGACATTATTTCTAAAAGAAATTGCGTCGACAAACATGCAGATATGTGTCGACTTGGTAGTCTCTGCGTCGGCACTTTGCACGCCATTGCCGTCTCCGAATCTGCCATACGCAGAGTGTCGAGCGCATGGCCCGTTAAGTTAAGCAAGTTCAAAAATCTGTTAAGCACCTTCCGTAACTAATGTTTAGGAAGGCGTCCATACTTACTGCGACAGCCGCCTCGGTGGCTCCGAGGCGAGAGCGCCGGCCTACGGATCCCCAGGTGGCGGGTTCGAATCCCGACCGAGGTGCCCGCAATATGACGGAGGCTTATTGCGGAGAAGGCGCCGTGTAACCGATCTTTCGGTTGCACGTCAAAAGATCCCCAGGTGGTCGAAATTAATCCTCAGTCCTCCGCTGGGGCGTGCCAGATGCCCGTCGTAGGTTTGGCACGTAAAACCCCCAAATTTGAATTTCATACTTACTGCGACGCTATTTGAGAGGTGCAGACAGACGAGGAACTTTAGCAGGATCGGGGTCAAACGGCTTGTGAAGAACGGTGTGAGCGTGATGGCAGTCGAGAGAAGGAATTGCCAACGAGGTCGTGGCTGGAGCACAGGAAAGGGAGGGCTGGCAGATTGCAAGCTGCACAGAGTGCTCCTGATGACATTAGTGTGCATATCTTGCATGTGCAGGCCACGCAAGTACTGACCCTGCTCCGTACCCCACCTGCAGACCGAACAGGCGTTTATATCCCAGTTGCTTGTGACTATCTCGAAATTTCCAGTGGGCGCTTGCTCGGAATTTTATCGCAATCAGTTTTGATTTACAAAACGTCCTAAAATATACAACTGAAATGCTGGTTTATAGATCTTTAGACCAGTTTGTAGGCCAAGGGACTTCAATATAGGGTGTGAGCGACAGAAATAATTATGAAGCATTTCAGCCTGGTGAAGGTGCAAAAATGTAGGAGACGCGCAACAAGAATGTGTAGCACTTTGTTCCTTAATTAAACGAGAACACCTTTTTGTGTCATTGTGAGAACAGAAAATTTTTTTAATCTACTGCACTCTGCCTTAAAGATGGCGACTGCTGCGTGGAAAAGGTGTATTGTCTATACTTGTTTCACCTTGTGATGCACCGCAGCAAAGGCTACAAGTGCAAGCTCCTTGTTATAGGGCACATCTCGGCAGCACAAGCTCTCGTGCATTAACGTCAGCTGCCCAAGCTATGAGCTCGTGCTTCTAGCCTTCGCTGCGGTACCTGCACCATTTGTGCCAAATCTGGTACATCTTGCACCAAAATGCCTATTTTGTCAAGAGTTGTGCCACACCTGTGCCAAGATGGACTTAAAGAAAGAAAAATTTAAACATATTAATGTTGATTGATTTTATTTGGAGAAAGAAAAAAGGGAAATGGTGCAAATACATATTTCACGCCGCCCTACTGACCGTATAGTTTGTTTCGTCTTGTGTCCAAGCACAGTCGAAGGCTCAAACGCACACAACCCCAGACGCACATGCTAAAAGCGCAGGTCACGGGACATGCGCTGCGCTGCACTCTATTGGTTTAGGCAATGAACACATACAGGAAAATGATGCATGTTGCACATTGAAGCTATCTGACTGATTGATCCCATTGGCTCGCAGTGTGCGTTTTGACTTAATATGAAACAAAGTAGAGAGATTGCTTGTCAGCTGCGCTGGCCGGTTGATCGCCGTCATGAGCTAAAAGTGAGAAAATTTAGCAAGATAGTAGGATGGTGGCTACTGTGAAAAGACACAACCAGGGTCTTGCGCTCCTGAATAGATCACTTGGTCATCATGTCCGCCACATGCCTTTTTGCTGTGGCTACAGTGCACCGTGGCACTTGCGCCGCTCACGCCAACCTTCACCGCTTTTCCAGCACGCACGCGTCGAGCTTCCCCGCTTTGCACTTGAGTGCTAAGAGCAGCGGCTGGCACGGGGGAGCAGCTGGGTCAGTGCAATGAGCACGGAAATTGTGCCCAGGCTTGTTGCGGGTCGACCTTCTTTGCTCTTGACTGTAGGTTGATCTTTAATATTAAAAAAAACCTGCCGAGAAAGAGAGAAAAAAAAAGTTTGTTTGAATAAATACGGTCAAGGCAGTTCCCGTGCGTCTGTTGCTCAAAGCAACAGCAAACTTTGACTTAACTGTGGTTCCAACGCTGCTAAAGAACAATTTCACATCTAGAGCACGGGTCTTGGCTTCCAGAATATTTGTGGGTGGTGGTTTTTGCAGTTTATGATATTAGAGTCTCTAGTTCGGTAAGTTCGGAAAAGTTGGGGGAGTCATTTTTTTTTATAGACCTGTTAGCAGATGGGCTCGATTTTGCTGGCGTTTTACTAAAATTATAGTTGCAGGCTAAATAAACTACCGAGTGCAAAGGGGGGAGGGGAGAGAGGTCCCATTTGAAGTGTTGTGCTATGATTTACTTTTCTACCATTTTTTAGTACCCATTGTAAATGAAACCTACTCTGACCAGAGCATTGTTTCTAAAACAAAGGCGCTGTGTTCCTCACTCTCTACTGATTCTTATTACAAAAATAATAGGTAATGTGCTTCAGTATCGAAGAGAACCCACAATCATTATTGTAAATGTAGAGGAACTCATTTAGTCATGCAATAACGTTTTTATTTTGAAGCGATGTGCTAACGGATGTTGGCATATGCTCCAAATATGGGCGTACCACCGGGGAGGGGGAAGGGGGGGGGGGGGGGGGGGGGCCAAGGGGAGCACTTGCCCTCCCAATTCTCTGTCAGAGTGGGGGGGCAAGGCATGTGTGTTGCCCCCCCCTAAAACAGCAATCACTGGGCAGGGCAAACACTTGCCAGCAGCATCCAAGGAACACCAAGGGCATTGCCCTCTGGACCGGTCTTGTTTGCTCCCCCTTTCAAAAGCAATTTGGTACGCCACTGGCACCGAACTAATATTTTGCCTGCTAAAGAACCTGCCATAAAAGGTCAGATGCCGCTTCCATCACTGGTAGTGCAACTCCCCTTCCAGACGCCGATTCCACTATGAACTTTCGCCGCTGTATCAATATGTACGACAAAGCAAGCACTGAAGTCCTGTTTTTCCAGTGGTCTGAGAACGGTCTGCTGACCGTACAGCATGTGTCGCCAAGAACCAGCACATTTGGTACACCTTGAAAATTTTGAATTTAAAATGTACATAAATACCTAAAACTGAACACGCAATGTTGTTTTGCAAAACATATTACTCTTTTTTTTTTTTTGAAGCTCAACTTGGATGTGGTGAAATCATTAAGATGGGGCAAAAACAGTGGCCGTCGATTTCTCGTGTCCTATACTGGCTTGTTTGTCGTCTGCGCACTGGTTTGCGAGCTCGCTCCCACATAGTTGTCGATCATTTAGTTTAAAGGAGCTGTGCAACGATTTTAACGTTGAAAGAATTGGCATCTTCTACTTTTGACATTGTTCATCTTGTCACAAAGGGCAGAAAACACATCTCCTTCTTTTAAAATGTCGTAATTGCGAGGCAAAAATTAGAATATTCCCCGGCCTGCAGCAGCGAGCGGCAGCCATGAGAACCACGCTGCATGACGTCAATGGGGGTCTTGTAGAAAGATAGCAAGTTGTGCGAATACCTGCTCAATTAAAGGTAACTTTTCTGTATATCTTGTCGTTCCAACATAAATATAAAAGCGTCAAATAGAGCACTATATAGCTCCTTCGGAGCAGAGTAGTGCAATCTAGAACGCCATCTTTCGGCGACTTTTCAACTTCGATCTGAAATGCATGGGGAACTTGAGAAAATCGCCGTTTCTTCAATATTGTGGATATGTACGGAACGTCAATAGTTTTTGACATAATAAAGGAACATTAGAATAATTTGCGCTAAGTTGCGTGCCACGTAAGAGCCCCGAGTGGCATCACGCAGCAGACGACGCGGTGACGTCACAGAGACGTCGCACCGTCCACGTGACCCGCTCCGGCCAACCCAGGAAGTCCTCTCCGCTGCGTACAAAAATCGTCTGCTTCAAACGCCATTGCCTTGGAAATTGCCTTCTCAAAATTTTCACACACATCTAATGTTATGAAAACTTTGATAAAGTGTTTAGTGCTTTACCAACTTCACGACAGAGCAGTTTCGAAAAGTGTGAACTTGGCGTTTGTACTCTAATCAGCCGTGTTGAGTCGATCTCCATGTATTCTCCCACAGAACGAGCCGGCCGCCTCCTGGAACCCCGAGTACCACGTGACTCGCGCCGCGCTGCTCTGTCGACCATGTTGCCGGCGAAACACGTGGATCGAAGAATTGCGCTACTCTGCTCCATAGGAGCTATATAGTGCTCTAGCGTCAAAAACCTGGCATCATCGACAAAGCCTTTATTATACGGAGTTTTAGAGGTGCCATCTATTTTAGTCCCACAAAACCGTAAGCTCTATCTGCTACCGCGAACAGCCGCCAGGAGCCAAAGGGGGACGTGGGCAGACCCAGACTGGGATGGCCGGACCCGGACGAGACTTTCCTTCTTTCACCATATTGTTCGCACTGCGCTGGCCAGCACATGGTCACGCGGTCGTGAGCGGATGAGCTCTCGCTGCTCACCGACGGCTCTAGAGCGAAAGCTTCACTGGAACCTTGTGCGACCCTGATTGACGTCACAACGCACGCGACTCGGAAGTTGGTGAAAGAGTTGAGAGGTGCCGAAAACCTTAATTCTTGTCCATTTTTAAAATAAAAACTAGACATGCAGGCAGAAGCGGTTTCTTGTTCCTTACTTCAGAAAGGTGGGGACACCAACTCCCAAATTATTTAAGCAAAGCACTGAAATTGTTGCACGGCTATTGCAATTATCCCGCTTATCGCCAGCCTTTACTATGGCATTTTTGCGTTCATTGTGCCATCTGGTTGCAAGTCCTCAAACCAGTGTGCAGATGACACGTCGCTACAGGACGCAAAACCCTTAGTCGAGTCTAAAAACAAAAATTACATAAAACTTGTGACAGTGTTTGCATGCTCATTTTGATATAAAATTCAAAGTCTGCAGGGTGTGCCAAGTCTGTTCTTAGGGCCACACCCTGCGCAAGGACTCGCAACTTATATGCCAGCTTTTTCGGGCAAGTGGCCGTTCACAGAAGGGCACAACTTGTAGTCCAGAAAATCTGGTAATTAGAAATGCCGCTATAACCACCCTAGACCCAAGGCCAAAGAAAGGCCTGAACTGCCATGGTTGGCCATGCGTTCGTTGGGGTGATCCATGAAGCCAGGACTGCGAAACAACTTGCGGCACACTAACAGTGGCGCACATAACAAGCTGCACCTCGAGCAAGCACAAAACCAGTGTGTCCTGTGCCACTGTTGCTACAATTGCAGTTGGCACGAGATACCGAATTGTGTCAAGCTTGGGAAAAGGATGTCCGCTCTGTAGTCATTCCTGCAGATACCATTCGAGGCATGTTTCCTCCTTGAATGAAGGTCCTGCAACATTGCTTCTACAAAAATTGTTCTAGTTCGAAGTGTACATGTTTATGAAGAAAACTTGCTTCGAAGGCACTTGAGGCATGTCCCTAGGTAATACTGTCATTGCTTCTGCAGCGAACATTGTGTTTTGTATGGTGTATGACTAGGGCTCTATAGGGCGCTTGGTGCAATGTAGCAGAGACCGGTGGCCAGGGACTACTACGGACTTTATTTAAATGGGGCGAGGCTCGCTCAGGCAGTCGCTGCGAGGCCCTTGAGGTCGGCGATGCACTTCTGCAGAGTGTCCTTCTCCTGCTGCGGCGTGATGCTCTTCACGACGTTGTTCACGATCCAGTCCACCATGTGCTTCTGCTGCATGCGCCGCGTGATGTTCTGCACCTCAAGGTGGTAGTCGAGCCGCCGCTTCACCTCGTTGTACACAGTCATCTGCCTTTTGCGGAACTCGGCCTCGAGCTGAAGCTGGACATTCTCCCGTTTGGCCTCGAACAGCATGTGCTGGCCCTGGGCCTGCCACTGGGACCGCTCCTCGTTCTTGATGGCCTCCTGGAAGTAAAGCCTCTCGATCAAATTCACGCTTTGTGTTACGCCAATGTCTACCGTTGCGCACGAGGGTGAGACACATGTGCCACAAGCGAGTGCTCCGCTGCCATTAAAAAAAATGGTGCCATGCATTTGCTTAGACGGCGGGAAGTTAAAGCTGGATCACACGCTTCTGACTGGAGCGTAGGAACTGGTTTTAAGTCTCGCAACTGCTTAAAACTTCTACACATATGGCCGTAAGCAGTCGCAGGGGGCTTAAAACCGGTTTTTCGCCTCTCCGGTTGTAAGCGGTCGCAAGCATGTGAACCAAACTTTATTCATAAGCCCCAGTGTGCGTCTGGTGTCTCGGCTGTAGATGAGCAATGCGGCCAGAGCAGTACCACGGGTAGCCTGAGGTCTCTAGCGTGCATCACGCAGTAGTAATACACGACCGCACGCTGGTAAGATGCTCATCCAGACCTCTGCCGTCCTTCGCTTCCAAGGCCGCATGAGACACGGGCGTCGTGCAGTGGCACATTTGACGCTACTTGCAAGACAAACAGAAACGCATCGAGGGGCTTTACCTGGAGGCCGTCGATGTTGCCCTGTCGGAACGAGTCCAGGTCAGCCTCCTCCTTGTCCACCTCCTTGTCCAGGTACGCGCTGATGCCCGGCCCTAGTTTCTTGACGATGTACACGACCATGATGACGAGCGTGATCCCCGCGTAGAACTCGTGTTCCATGATGAGGATCTCCTTGGAGTAGAGGTAGGTGAGCAGGCCAGTGCCGAAGAGGTACGGCCCGGTCACGCCAGTCTTCTTGTAGAAGAACTCGAACCACTCTTCGGGGAAGACGCCCATGCGGACCTTGCCCGGGAGCAGGGGCCTCTTGAGGCGCGGGAAGTTGACCAGGTCGCGCTCGGGCGGCTCGTTGGGGAGGTGCAGGATCTCGCGGCCATCTTTCGTCAGGGACTGCGTGCCCGTGCAGCGCACGGTACCCACTGTTGGGACGAGCTGAAGCGTGCGGGAGACCCTCGGGAGCTGCTTGAAAGCTAGGACGCGCAGCATGCTTCTTCGGACGTCGCTGAAGGACACGCGAGCAGGAAAATTGGCCCCCGAAAAATTACAGAACCGCTTTGCCCCAAACGTCCTCTGAGGGGGTGATGCGCCCACGATGCCACTTGCTTCACTTGCCAAAGTCCGACTGGGAATTTATTTGTCTATTTCAAATTATCAATGTACATTATAATAATGTTAGTATTATTGTTGTTTTGAGCCTGTTCTTTGTATATTTTTATTATTAATAAATAAATAAATGCGTGAGATGAATGGATAGATAAAAGTTTTGAAGTTTTTGTGAGCCTTCAGCCAATGCGTATTATGATGTTGTGCTGCGCCATCTGTGCCCCTTGCGCTGCACACCTTTGTGGAATATTAAAGTTTACAACCTCGATGAAAGTTCAGCCGTTTAGCGACTTGGAAGGCACCGGCGGCACCGGCCTCGACCGATCCTTTTAATCCGCCTCCTCTAGAAGGGCCCTGCCGCAGTGCAACCGCTTATTTCAGCGACAGTCGACGCTGAACTTCCATCAATCAAACTGCATTCGCGGTCAGCAGAATGCAGGTCATTTGCGGAATAATTAAAGCCACATGCAATCATTGGCACCGAACTTTCACAGTGAGATGCAAGAACATCGTGGCGCGTTGTGCGAAAACAGAAAACACCGTGCCTCTGCTGCTAGGTAGATTCAGGGGGGCTATGTTGCACTTTTTGGACTTCCAGGAGACTTGGAAGAGGGAAGTGACGTCAACGACTAGAGCAAATGCAGATTGGATGTTGACAGAAGAAAACGAAATCAACACCCAATCTGCGTTTGCTGTGTCGTTGACGTCACTTCCCTCTCCCTAGTCTCCTGGGAGTCCAAAAAGCGCAACATAGCACCCCTGGAGTGACCCTGGAAACAGCTCCTCCTAGGTCCCGTATGACGTACATTGCTCTGTGTGACTTGGAATGTGTTTGGGAGCTCCCATACCATTCCGGAAGAAGCTGCGAGACATCTATATTTTGGCGTTGTTTAGGTTTGGCTATCCATATCTCGAAAGACTCAGAAAAAATCCTTTACGTGTCCAAGCGGTGATCAGCGCTCGGTCTTGTTCTTATTTTATCAGATATGCAGCTTGGTAGCCTTGGTAGTTTATTTGCAGTATGGAAATAATTCAGGAAGGACTTGCTTCCTTAATAAAAGGCACATATATTTTATTTTGTTGTTCTTTGCCGCGCGAGACGTCCGCTTTCAAATGAGCATGAACAACAATTTATTTCTCAAATGATGTTGTCATGTAATTTATTACGTTGTAACCTTTCCTTGCCGATGACATTACCAAGAAATTCAATAATAATATTAAAATAATATTTTACTTGCACCCTGGGTGACGTGCTAGGCTGCCGTACACGCGCCTGCTAGCCAGTCACCCAGAAGAGCACAATATCTTCGTAAACGCGACAAAAATGTCACGTATTGCCGTGTCCAACCAACAAGCGAAGATAGCCCTAGAGGGCCGATTTGACCCTTGGTACCTGCCCATCGTGAACATTATGCGCACAACCATGCATGCACCCGAAGCTGCCGCCGAGCGCCGAGCTGGCTGGCACTCCCCCAATAAAAGCAAAAAAAAAAAAGAAAAAGAAAAAGCAACGTGGCGGCGGGGCTGCACAATCTGGTGACGTAACCAGTTCCTGTGCACGTCCGGAACTCCGGCGCTCGCTCGCTCGCTGGCGGACCTTTCGCCATTTGGACTTCGGCAAAAAATACGTAAGTCGTCACCATCCCGTTTCTAAGCACGTCGAAGCTGGTCGAGTGCGAGCACTGCGTCGGGATCCAGATACCGCTCTTGACCGTGCCCTTACTCGAACACGCTGACCGCCGGATCGCGCCGCTCGACGCACTGCCCGCCTGGTCGAGTCGCCGAGTGCTGTTGCGCCGTTCGTTGACGCGCAACGCGCACACCGATATCGGGGGCCCCTGGAAACCCCTTGGATACAGTCGGTCGCGTGCTAGCGCTGCACAGATCCGACTCGCCCGCGATCCCGGAAATCATTTGGGGCACTACGGCGAGCCCCCAAGGGAAGATCGCGCTGCTGTTCCAGCGGGGGGCCCCAGTGTGAGGATGGGAGGCGGGGCTGGCGGGGCCTCCAGCCGAGAACGACTCTTGCTAGCACAGCCGCGGCCAGAAGAAGGTATTAACCCCACCTCGGACTGCCCGATCGGTCCGCTTGCGACTATCGTTGGGGCTCCGATCTCGCATTTCGCCGAACCGCGAAGTCCTCTGAACGGTCCTCCAAAGCATTCGGTGTACACGGCTTCTAGTTGAAGGGGTTACATTAAGGATTCCGCGTATTTTCTGCGCATTGTACATCCAACTTGGTGTCGTTTTTTGTTTTTTTTCTCGGGTTGTAACTCGGGTTGAATCGCAGTTATTTGCCCCGATATTTTTTACTTTCCTAGAGCGTCCAGAAATTGCCGTAAGATAAACCTCCGAAGACGTTTATTTACATCGGCTAAACGCGTACAACTTGCCGCTTGTTTAGTCTGCGACAAATTAATATTTTTTTCTTTTTTTTCTTTCGAAATGTACTGCGTACAGATGTTATCCCGAGTAGTGTTCTATAAAATCGTGCTCGTGGCTCATATATTTTCCACCATTTGAAACACGACGGCGCGCGTGTTGTGTTCACCAGCATTGAAACTCGGTATCATCCTGGGCGTTTATTACTGACACAGTGCACAGATTGTATTCGTGTAAGCTTACTATATTTCAGCTCAAGTAGTCGTAACTTTAAGCGCTTTACGTTTTGGCATCTTAATGCCAAATATCAAGCATGAAGACACTTGCTTGCCTTGGCGTATTTTGCATTACTGCTGGCCAGACTAGATGGAAATATGTTCCTTCAGTCTAGCCTTATGTTGTATACCCTAAAACCAATAAATACAGCACAAACAAGACGAGGACGAAAAAGGTGCACATACGACAAATAGCCCAATTGAGAGTCGTGATGCGACATATTTTATATCTTGTTGGTAAAGCTAAGCCGCTTGATGCCAATGAGAGACATCAGTTTTCATCTCCCCGTATTAAAAATCATGGTGGCAGAGGCGTCGTAAAGTGACGAGGACTCTACCTCTGTGAAGGCTTCCTCCTTTCCCATCTGTCTAACTGCAGGTGGTACGGTCCTCTACCTCTAGCCTTGGTAAAACTGCGCATTACTTATTTATTTATTTAAAGCTGCTTATCCCCAAGAGGGGATTATAGCAAGCACCGGTAGAAAAAGGGCAATTGATGACGAGTAGCAATGCTTTCTTTAATGGACATCCTATTTCTACATGCACAGTAGAGAAAAACTCGAAACAGATCCCACAATTATGGCGACAATTTTTCACGTGCAGGTACACTCTTCCGCTTCATGACGATCGGGGAATAAAATGAATGCCGAGAACTATTCGTATCTGCCGTTAGTAATAACTATGATAAATTTGGATACATTTTTGATTGATTCTACTGAACAGGAAATCTCTCCCTATCATCATAATATAGCTGATGATTTCCCCAATAGCTTCCACAGTGCCCTTGACACCATATATCTGTGTCATGGGCATGTATTCTGTCTCTGGAGCTCCGACGAGGAGCGTGGTGTTACATTGGTAAGAGTGCCGCTTGCAGCAACGACGAGATTGACTTGCTTGGTCGATTATTGGAACTGAACGGTGGCATGGTGACCTTGGTGGTAGCAGCAAAAGATTAGGCCACGGGAAAGCATCAGGTCAGTACTTTTGTGATGCCGCCCCTTTTTTTTTCTTCTAATGCTTATCTCTAGTAAGGCCAATGTTTTGTCAAACCCAAGGAGTTAATTAACACATTTGTTCTGGGCTAAGTGCATTTTTGAAGACTTACCATATTTTTCGGGCTTTATCTTGCTGTGGTCTGAAAGAGAGGTTAGCTAATACATGGACACTAACGAGACAGCAATCACTGGCTATAGTCATTTGCAGGTTAAGAATTCAGGGGAAACTCCTTCCACTTCTCTCTATTTGAGCAGAGTGAATGCTAGAGAGAAGGTTGGCTCCTCTACAGCATTCACTCTGTTTAAAAAGGGGTGGTAGGAGCTTCCTCTTTCTATGCAGGCTGTAGTATACGCCGCATAGAAAAAATTATCCTACACGGCACATGTTGAAAAATGCTTGCTGTATTAACATGCAAAAATGCTTGTCGTACAGAAGTCATTATTAACATAAGCTGTCATTCACAAAATGTGTCGCATCTTGTCATGATGTACGATCTTGGAGAAACAAATCCTTGTATCTGCCGCACTCTTAGGTAGCCTGCACCATTAAAAATTTCAACTTTTAGACGTGTAGTCTGTGGTAACGTATGTATTCTGGGTAAAGTGAAGTATGGTAATGTGTGTCTTTTGGGTTATACAGCGCAATTCACTTATAACGATAACCAGAAAACCCGGAAATGCAATCGTTATAACCGATTATCGTTGTATCTGGACTAGAAAGTGGTTGTTTCTAGTCTAGAAACACTATAAACTGATCGTTATAAGCGGTATATCGTTATATGTGGTACTGTTATAAGTGGATTGCACTGTATGCATTTTTCAGAAACCTAGTTGAAATGTTTCCTGATGCACACGGCCATAAGCTGCATTTTGACTTGATTTTGACATTCGGACCTCAACACAATTACTGCTGTGAAGGAGTCTGACATGTCATTTCGTTTTTCCAGTCCAATAAGTGTGTGTGCTTAAAACATTCACCTTCACCGATTCCAGTTTATGCCATCTGCAGAGTGTGTCCAGACGTAGGCACTCCCATGTTGGCCGGCTGCTGTATGCTGAGGACGTTGTAATTGTCAAAGGACACACCGCAAGTCTCCTGCGAGCCAGCACTCAATATCTACCGCCATATCCAGTGCACGCTGCGTGTGCTTAGGGGAAATTTTCTTCTCGCATCTGTTTTCAAATTTAGTGACCTTTGTGCATCGTTCCAGCTTGCTGCCACCCATTTTGTTCTTCCGTTACGATAAATTATAGATGCTTCCCATAAACTTGATCAGAATGCTGTAGAGGAGGCGACCTCCTCTCCAGCATTTGCTCTGCTCAAGTGGAAAAGGGTGGAAGGAGTTTCCCCTGAACTCATAATCTGTCTCTGACTGTAGGCACTCATTGCTGTCTTGTTAGTGTCTATGTATTAGCTAACCTCTCTTCAAATGTTCAGCAGTGAAAAGAAGCCATACATTGTGGGTATCATTTTTTTGGAATGCTTCTCTTCTGCTTGATGACCTATGGAGACAATGTGCATACATTTTCTGAAGTTTGAATGTCACAGGGTGTATTATCTTGTGCCACTCAGACTACAGCCACCACAACTATCATCAAGACTATTTGTACCCAACAGAATGAATTCCTACACGATTGTTACTTTTATAATCTGAGCTACAAACAGGGGGTAAGCTGCTAGTCATTGTGGCCTGTGACCAAAAACCAGAGATTTGAATTGTACCTGCCACCAAACGATTGGACACGATTGCTGAGTCATGGGTCAGCAGGTAGTCAGAACTGCTAGGATTTTTCACTGGATAGCACTATCTATGCAAACAAACTTTGTTCCAGTACCTGTATAGCTTGCTAAAGCTGCATATTGGTAAATTTTGATGGGTAGCCGATGTGCTCTGCGGGGTGAAAAATGTCAAAAATGCTCTTTACGTCATTCGTGTGTTGTGCCATATGCAAACTTTTCATATCGAACTAGGGTGGGTCCCTCCTGGTTAAGCTCCCAGTCTGCGTTCCTTGTGATGTGCCATTGGGGAGAAATAAAAATATTCGGGGCATATCGAGAGAATGGTTGGGTTCCGTTGGCTGCTCAAAATAATTCCGTTTCAAGTATGTCCAAACTAAGTAAGCGTGCTAGGCACCACCGATGGCTATTCGCTTTCCGCTGAGTGTCGATCTCGAGGCATGATGCAGTACTATGATAAAAGCACATTGATTTAAATCATGATTTATACCACGATTTAAATCATCTTGATTTTTTTTCTCCACCCTGCTGTTGGCTAACCTCGAAGCTCTGCAGAATTGTGGCGCACGTTTTCTACGTTGTAACTTTCATCGCACCGCTGATGTCTCGTCTATGACAACCACTTTATCCCTTCCTCCTTTTCTTGAATGGGTACTCCGGCGATTTTTTTAGCTACCCCAACTATGTTTTCTTAATCCTTTGCCCTTTCCGCTGTGCTATTCAGTACAGTATCGCGAAATTCATAATAGTTATTGTGAAACCGACAAACAAAAATGGTGAAAAGACCAACATTCAAATAAACCCGCACTTTTCAGTGCCGTGACGTCAGTGGCAGGCAAGCTCGCCAGTCGAAGTCTACAAAATGTGACTATGGCGAGCATTTGTTTTGTGCTGTTGTGCGGGGGCTGTAGCGATCTTCCATAGCTTTCATTTGACACCATGAAGCTGCTTGGAATCAGCTGGAAACGAATTCCACACTCTAAAGCGTGAACCCCTGCCTCCCGCTAGCGTCCTCTTTTTCGTTTTTGCCAGTATTGAATTTCACTTTGAAAAACACGGTGAGGACCAAAATATTTAAATTCAATAACTTCGCGAAAAAAAAAAAGACCTAATATTTGGGATACTATTTCAGCGATGTTTGTTGGTGTGTTTAGCAAATTTTCAGGCATACCGGGTACCATGAAGAAATCGCCGGAGTACCCCTCGTAAAATATCTCGTTTATGCGTTTTGTAAA